AGAAGGGGTTTTGTGGAGATTTTTACAAATTTCAATAGTTGAAAACATGAGTCAATTGAAGCTAGACCACCACTGATCAATTGTCCAGTCTTGCTGAATTATCAGCCATTAACGTTTTGATATCGAATTTTGATGGATTATATGACAAAATATTTCATTATTAAATAATTATGGCCAAATAATCAATCCTAAACTTTTACAATCGTTACAATAATTCACAATTGCATTTCATTCGTTTTCAGCATCATATACATTCCAATGAAAATGACACTATGTATCCGTTATGATCAATAAGATTACTTATAAAATCTTTTTAACACTTGTTTAGAAAGAAGACGTCAACTCTTGGAATATCGATGTTATTGTTCATGGTATGTAGTGAGTTTATTGACTTCTCACATCTATTCATTACGCATTGAGAGCAATATATATTTTATAGTATGAATCATTTGTACGCACTAAACTGTGTATTGATAAAGACATCAATTATGCAATCGGAAATCTTTTTTAAGCGAATGTAACTTGAATAATTCAAGTTTCGTTAGTTTAAGTTATCCACTGATGACACTTACTTACGCCTACTACCACTTGTTGAGGAGCATAGGCCGCCCACCAGCATTCTTTATCCAACTCTGTCCAAGGCAATTCTTTACAATTGTTTCTAGCTGCTATTCATCCTTCTCATATCACCTTGACGCAGTGTTTTCTTTGGCCTTCCTCTTCTGCTTTTGCCTTCACGATTCCTAGTTGGCGCTTATCACGTGATACAGCTCGGTGATTTCCGTAATGTGTGTACCATCCACTTCCAACGTCTCTCCATAATTTCCTCTCTCCCACAGTAAGTTGTCGCTGATGATATCCTGTCAACGGATATTAAGTATTTTGTGTAGACAATTATTTATAAGTACTTGTCATACTTTGATGATGGTTGTGATAGTTGTGGAAGTTTGATTTCCGTACAGTAGAACTGTCTTGACGTTCGTATTGGAAATTCTCAGTTTGATGTTGGCTTGCAGACAATTGTGTTGAGTTGCATATGTTGTTCAACTGTATGAGTGTTGTCTTTGCTTTGCCAATGCTCGTCTCTATGTCTGTATCATATCTTCCGTGTTCATTGATGATGCTGTTCACGTACGTTCAAGTTTCCACCTGTTTGTTGAGACCTACTGATGTAGAGGCTTCTGCGTATGAACCTATTGTTAGTCATCGACTATCATGGGACTGCATCTCCTTACGATGCTCCACTGCCTTGTGCATTAGACTTTTAGGTCAAAGGCTCCGGGTGTGGCCTCTTAAGAAAACTACCTGCTTCGGTTTGGGCACCCGGGCAGTATCCCAGCTCTCTCACAGATCGAATGATTTGTGTGGCGCATATCTGTTTGGTACCTCCTTGTACCAATGTTAATGTCTTTAAATAAAAATATAGCCTTATCATAAAAGTTACTATCATGACAAACCTTTTTCACTGATAAATTTAAATATCTTTTTTTAAGATCAAATAAATAACTCTGTAACCCTTTTGTTGAACTGATGGTTTTTTAATATCTTGCCTTCATTATATACAAAAACTGACAAGAACATTATACATTCTTTGTATTTTAATTATTGAATAATGTAAAGAGTAATTATTATTACACCAGAGAAATACCAAATTATTCATGCAAAACAAAATGATGGTTTCTAGAAAAGTTCAAACTAGAAAATCATACAGAAAACAACAAAGAATAATAGGTGTTAGGGTTATAAAACTATGCAAGAATCTGGTCATACAGAATTTTAGTTATGGAATATAAAACTAAATTAGGTTTGCCATCGACTTTCATTCCAAATTGTATCTTAAGTTACTGATCAACAAAATATGATTATAAACTAATCATCTTCTGTTCTAGTGAGCCATACCGTTAGTAGTTCATCTATGTCCTTGTTCGAAAAAATCGCAACGTCGGTAAATAATACTTGGATAAGAACAAGCTTGGATGAAAGAAGTAAAATTAGGTAAGTCATCACAGCCACCGCTTCACAGTTCTAATACTCCACATAACATGTGGTATATGTTTTAGCTAATTATACGCTATTGTACCCATGTATTAACTACAAAATACTGTTACCGAGCGCCAATACTCCTAGGTAATTAATGACTGAAACACAGAGTTATTGGATATTCTTAGCTCTGAAAGGAATCTTCGGAAATGTACAAAAGTGACTTAAATTAACACAGATTACTTCGGTTACAAGTGATCTTAATCGCTCTTATATTAGCATGCCGATTTCTCCACAATACCTGTGGATTACAAGATTACTAATTCATTTACGTTTGGTTCAAAAGAATGAGTGGAATGTAGTTAGCACTGGAATATGGGATGGCCGTTCTGATTTAATAGTCACTCGTCAGATGGGTACTAGAGTTTATAATCACTCCGAAATTCCGACTCAGTACCTTCGGCTTCAAATGTTTAACGTTTTATTCATTCAGCTGCTGAGTTTAGGTAGTTACTCGCTTGCGCAACGGGGTGTGAGTTTTAATTCAGTTTGTGCTGTATCTGTTGTAAAAGTATTATCAAATCGATTGAAACACGAGTACTACTTTTCACTGCTAACCACATTCTATCTATTCTATTAAAAAGACTTGCAACATAATGGATATATCGAGGTAATCCTAACAGGACTCACAAATCCTAACTGATCGAAATTCAGCCGAACTGTCATCAGTAGATAATTTCGCCTGTAGCTCTTCTAGGGTCACTGTCGATCACAAGATCGAGTAAAAAAGGAGAGTGAGTAGGATTCCCCTGGCAGTGGTTGTATGCACGTGGCCACTTGAGAGCATTTCGAGAAGGAGAGCTAACACTCCACAATCTCAGCCGTACCAGGGTATTTGGGGGCAATTTGCCTATAAAAAATATTGTATTCTTTTGGTAAATCCATGTCAAAAATTATCTACTGTTTATTAATAAGTAGCCTCTAAAATGGAAATGGAAAGCAATAAGCGCGGACGTCATTTGAATTTGGGGTAAAACGATTAACCACCCGTTATCATATATGCCATCCAAGCTATACTGAATGAAGCCACAAAACCTTTTTTTCGCAAGTGATCAGTTCGTTGTGGTCATCAAAACACTTAAGACATAGGTGTTTTAAGTTCGGTTCTGTGTAGGTCAGTACTTTCATTTAATCACCAAAAGTCAATAAAGAACGAGGATTTGTTCAGTGCTAAGCCGTTACAGCTGGATCTCAAGCTGATATTAACTTAGTAGTAAATTGAGAATAAAGATCTAAGTTAGTTTTTCTCGTAATATGAGAAACAAACATAATTTTAATCCTATTTACATTTGTGAAGATTATAGCACATTTCAACTACCATTTTTAATAATTTTAGTGTTAAGAGAAGCTCATGTTCATACTTTCAGTGAATGTATTAACCTACTCACAGATATTTTTCGCCTTAATTCATCATTCAGCAGACCTGTTATCAGACTATTGCTGTAAAAAAGATACTACTAACAGAATTTTTGATGGTATGTAACTTTTATACTAAAGTAGAAAGTATGGTGTATTGATCTCTTATGAATCTTGTTAAAAAAATGATTGTCGACAGAAAAGTTGGTCTTGACAACTTAGAACTATTGTTTAATTGAATGTCTAACAGTTATTAATACTCTTTTGAATATCGACTACAAATGTATTTAAAGGTTAATTGAGTAAGGCATGCTCAGTTAATAAATATTCCTAAATTTGAAAAGACTAATCGTCGTGTTACGGTGCTAAAGATTAACATGATTTGTAGATACATACAGAATAACAACTGAAATAATGAAGAGTTGCACCTGATATAAATCTTTTTATCTCATGTCAACCAATCGCTTCTTCGGATTGTTACGGCAAGTAAAGTAACTGGTAAGCAGTGCTGAAGACGTTTGGAAGGTGGCGGCTTACATGAATAAAAATAGTACTACGGTAATATAAATTTAATGTTCACACCAAGCTTATCATAATTGAAAAATCTTTCATACCTCCACCCCATACACCCCTGACATCTGAAGTCCAACAATATTACTTATTGACAAAATGATATCATCGATCGTTGTTGTTTTAAAATGAATATAAATGCCAACAATTCGTAGCAAAATTACCTTTTTCATAACAATGAACTATAGGAAACGCACATCTTCAAGTTGTGCTCCTAGTTTGAACGTAGTCAAAACTGCAGAAAACCTATTACTGAGAATGGTGTTTGTAGTAGCATTTTCCTCTCTTGGTGCGCTAGACATTTTTGTCTACGAAATAATAGTCGCTACTTAGCTTAAATGCTCATCTTTGTAACTTGTAGCTTTTTATTTAGTATTTAGACAGCAACTGATAAATTCTACCAAAAGCTATGCCAGGTGTCCTAATTTTAGTGGTGCCAGATGATATTAACATTGTGAAGAACAGTTTTCTCGTGAGTATTGTGCCTGAGTGTATTTAAACCCACAATAATGTCAAAATCCTGTAACAGACAAATTAAATTAGATCAGCTACTTCATAATGCCTCAAATAATTTTGATGCAAAAATGAAAGTTTCTTATTGACTTCTTAATCGTTCAACGTTTGAGCTTCATTATTATTAAGGATTAAAAAACTGGCTTGAAATTCAGCACGATTGATGCTTTGAGTTCAAATTTAACACAATCTGAGCATTATAAATAATTCATTTAATAACTTAGTAATTCTATTCTCCAATAAGATATGTTCACTTAAAATAAGGTATGAACATAAGAATAGTGATCAAGTATGTACTGATGTTTGTTAATTTTAAGTAAAAATAGTTCACTGTAAAGCTGGGTGACACGAGATCGAATCCATCAGAGAGAATCAGTTCCCTCAAGATTACAAGTACACTTTGCTGACAACTGTCAAGTAACACAAAACCTAGGTGTAGAGTTTCCTGTTGACTACCACCAACCACCATCTTAGTTCACTTTCTACATTTCTATTGATTATATTTAGAAAAAGCTAAATAATGGTATTATCACAGAATTTAATGAATTCTTTTAACTATTTTATATATATAGGATAAGAAACAGATATACAGACAGGTATCAATACCAAGGTTTGACTTGATAATTTCGAATAAATTAAGCATTGAGTAGATAGTTATAAATATATTAATCTATTTGTAATATCCCAATGAGTAGAAAAATTAGATTTTCTGATGTTTCGTGACTTAGTGTAGGCCACTTCTTCAGAGATAAGTTTACTATTGAGAAATAATTACTCATTTGCAGATATATCAGTTTGATTGAATTTAATTGATTTTATTTCCAGTTTTCTTGTAACTGTAAATAAGCAAATAATGAGAATGCAAATTATTTATTTATTTTTTTTAAATGACCGAGAAAAGATAAACAAACAAAAAAGATAATTACAGATTGATAAATGATTATTTTAATTATATCTTACTGTCAGTAATATACTGAAAAAACTCTTATATAATCTCAAAACTATGTTATACATGAACTATAGTCTAGTGTAAATATATTAATATATATGTAATATCCTAATAAGTAGAAAAATTAGATTTTCTGACGTTTCGTGACCTAGTGTAAACCACTTCATCAGAGAATAAATAACCAAATTAAAATTAATCTAAGTTTAAACTTGACATAATACAATTATATTTATTTATTTATAACAATCTACTCAATGCCCAATTTATTCGAAATTATATATCTATAGTCTATATAGTCTATCTATATAGTCTAGTGTTGTAGACAATATGACTTGATTCATTAAATTTCATTTGAAACTTTTTTTACGTGAACCGTACCTGTAGAGCTGAATATGTTTAGTTAAGACTAAAGTAATATATTGAAGCCATTGCTTAGAAATATTATATCTTACGCAAGTTGTGATCAATATGGATATTAATCAGTAAAATGTAACATATCTTATTTCAAATAGGATAATATACATTCAATAGACATCGTGAGATAAAGCTTAAATGTTTTGAGTCTAGACAATTTATAAATACCAACTTGGTTTTCAGTTATGGTCTTTTGTGGGATATTTAATCAGTCGGATTTTGAATGTGACCAACTTGGTCTCGTGTGCTACGGTCGGGGATATTTAATTACGACTTTCATATACCTCTTCATTATGTAAATTTTTTATAGATGTTTTGTTCTCTTATAATTGATCAAGTGGATAGATCCTCTATTATTTTTCCGACACTTTATTCGTATTCTAATTACACCCTGACTATTAAGGAGTTTCATTCAATTGTTTGATTTCTTGATAAGTGACTTGCAATTACTTATCTATGAAACACACTATGAAAAAAATGAATCAGATAGCTCATTAATAAACTAATTATAAAATGAAAATATGACTAATTTCATAAAATTTAGTTCTGGCTAACCTTGATAATGCATTCAAAATATCTTTAGTTCTTTTTGCTTGTTTGGAATTAGCACCGAATGTGAATTGTTCAAGATCAAGGCACTGTGTTTATGTTATTTATTGAAAGTAAGGTAGATAAGAAATGAATTTCTGTACAATGAAATAAATTTCTGAAGGACAAAAACTAATATATCATTTCATAAAATGTTTGCTTTATAAAGAATACTGTTTTTCTAATTAAGTAGTAACAGGTGAATTAACTTAGAAGTTTTTAATATCTAACATTAAGTGAAGCTTGTTCAGATTTTGTCAAAACAGGGGAAAAAAATTAATTGAAACGAAGCAAGGAAAGTTAAATTATTAAAATAAAATGATAAACAAATTTAGGGCTATAAAATAATGAATAGCAAGCGAATACACCTCACACTTACTACACTATCCTTTAACTACTTTTCAACAACCAATGAACCTGAAAAAATGTTTTCCACCTTTTCTATGGATTAAATCAACAATCATAAACTTTGTGAATATTTTGGCATTCTAAATATGTGCACTTCAACTACTGTTATTATTTTATTTCATGAAAGTTCATGGTGGTTTGGTATAATTCCTTAACACTGTAGTTTTACGATTTCATCAACTAACTCGGTTATTCTCTTTGCGGTAGTATCCTCACCACCAGGATTTTAATAGAGTTTTGTTCTCTGAGCTGGATGGTTTGGTCGTGGAGCTTTCCTCGTTCTTCTGAACGACATCATCAGTACAAACTTCAGAAAGAAGTGGTGTTCGAATTTCTCCATATGCGTTTCACAGCTTGTTCTGTACACCTTGATGTTGATTGGTTCTTATTGACCTTAAATTTGTCATTGTTTACTTCTTTGTTTTGGTTGTCTCCCATTGGTTTCATTTTTGTTCCTGTATTTGTGCATAATTTTCCTGATTGGTTGATAAATTGGATTGATTTCAATGTGCTTGTTGATTGCTGATTGACCTGAGTGCCAGGCTTCTAAAAATTCCCTGGTGTTTTTGGAATTTCCTCTGTCCAAGATTTCCAGTCGAATGAGTGTCCGCAGCTGTCCATGTGTATTGATATAAGTGAGGAAGTGTCATGGCGTTTGACTTCTAATTGATGTTCATGTAGGCGAAGGTGAAGGGGCATCCGCTTTGTCCGATGTAGTTTTTTTCGCAGTTGGCACAATTTATTTTGTAGATGATGTTTGACTTATTTTCCCTTGTTATTTCATCCTTTGGTTTGCATAGGGTTGATTGTAGTGATTTTGTCGGTTTGTGCGCCACACCTATCCCGAAGGTTGTCAGCAGTCTCGTTGCGCTTTCTGATATGCCTTTTATCTATGGTAGGGCGATCGTTTTGTTGATTTCTGTACTTGACTTAGGTTCTGATGCTGCGTGCGGTTGGTATTTCTTGGTGAAGTTGGTTGGGTGGCCGTTCTTTTGAAATACGTCATTCAGGTATTTCTCTCCATTTTTTCGTGCTGCCAGTGTGCTGCAGGGTTTCCTCGCCCTTTTGAACAAAGTGTGTACGCAGTTGATTTTGTGAGCCCTTGGGTTGTTGCTATTGTAGTTGAGAATTTGATCTGTATGGGTCGGTTTCCTATACACTTGAGTTTCCAGTTTTCCTGTGTCAGTTCTAGTGATCAATATATCCAAGAATGCTAGTTGGTTGTTTGACTCCTGTTCCATTGTGAACTTGATGTCATTGAAAACGTTGTTGATCAGTCTGTTAATGTTTTCCAGTTCATTCTTTTTGACGATGACGAAAGTGTCGTCTACATAGCGAATCCAAATTTTTGGCTTGATCGCTGGTAATATCGTGGCTTCTAGTCTTTGCACCACTGCCTCTGCGATCAGTCCTGATATTGGTGTCCCTTTTGTTTGTTCGTAGGTTTTGTTGTTGAATTGAAAATATGATGTTAAGCATAAGTCGATGAGTTCCAGTAGACTTTGAATTTGAAGACTCGTGTATTTAGTGAGATTTGTGTCGTTATTGAGTAGTTTCTTTTGCTAACTGTGGTTCAATTGAGGTGAACAGTGCTGTTACGTCGAAGGATATCATGAGTTCGTCGTTGTTGATTTGAATATCCTTAATTTGGTCCAGGAATTGTGTGAGGGATTTGATGGAGTGGTTGGATGAATCTACTAAATGTTTCAGTATTCGTGGAATTTCTTTTGACAAATTGTATGTTGCTGTTCCGGGGAGTGCTACAATTGGACGTAGTGGGATGTTTGGTTTGTATATTTTCGGTCTGCCGTAGAATCGAGGGAGTACTGGTCCATTGGGTTTCATTCTTCATTAGTCTTGTTTTGTTATTTCTTCTGCTTTGACTAGCTTGTTCATAGTCTTTGAGATTCGGTTGTCTAATTTTTTGACAGGATGTTTAACCCGATGTTTTCATTATATATGTATAGTGTTTTAAAAAGCAAGAGATTCAATATATCTTTACAATGGTATCTTTACATTGTGCACACTGCACTCGTTATGGGTACATGCAGAGTACGAACATTAGTAGGTACCTGAAACTCATGTCTTCCGTTTAACATTCAGATGTCAAGCACGAATCAACCGTTAACAACTTGCTTTAATTACGTTAAAAATGACGTTAATGTTAGTATTTTCCTACATTTCGCTTGCGTTTTGTAAGTACATCCTCTCTAGTCATTTTTTGACCATTATTCAATATAATTGGTGACCCATAATTGTATTATATCCACTAAATACTATCAGTCACGTATCAGATTATCAAGCTGATTAATTATAAAACATTTCAAATAGCTAAGTTTTTTTAGCCGTTTATGTTACTTCCTTTCTCTAGAAAAACATTGAACGTTCCATAGTTTAAATTTTCTGGTCAAAGAATATGGAATAATTAATGAATTCTCTAGATAAACTATTATTTCTACCAAGAATAAAATAATGAATATTCAGGTCAAACTAAAGTATTTTGTACATACCATTTCAGCTTGATTAAATGCTTCAGCGAAATTTTCTTGAACCATGTTTATTGACAAGATTAGTTTATATGTCTTTATTACTTGTGCATTGTACATTCCAAATGTGTCTTCTTGAATATTTAAATTTTCTTCTAATAATTTTAAGGCTTCCTAAAATTACATAACTGAAATATTAATTCAAAAATAAAATTGGATTTCTTTTTACATCAATAAAAGTAGTAGTTACATAATAATAGTAATAATAATAGTTGTTATATCCTAGTGAAGATTACATTACGAGTCACGTCTAAGACCTATTAATGGACTAATATTATTTATATATTCTCATGGTATAAATGTTCGGTAACTAGATTATGTATATCTATATTCCCCTTGTTATAAGCTTTATTGTGACCTATATATTATTATTGTACGATTTACTGTTCTTAAGCTATGTTCAGTTTATTGACTACTGACTCTCACGTTCACAGTCACTTTTTGGCTTTATTGTGTACAAATGTTATTTCCTATTTTATGGTGCGTTGCGGCCTGTTTGTTTGATATATAAACACAGTATGTCTGAAACAAGTGATTCGATTAGATTCGGTTCACATAGTGGGAGCTGTATTAGTGTTCTGGACTCAAGTGGACGGGCTAGGCGAACATAGGACCAATAAGGACGCTAGGCTGCTCATACTGGTCGAACGTCATTGGTTTGGCACAGTGCTAAGATTGTATAAGTTGTATTTTGATTGGTGGATAAATCACGTGATAAAAAGCCGGACATAAAGTCATAACAATGATAATAATCATTTAAATACCAAGAAAAATTCGCTTAATCCAGATGGTTCATCTCGATCGTAAAGAAAATAAAAACAGTTAACTATTTTTCATGATAAATTAAATTGCAAAATTATATTCTAGTTTAGTATTTATACTTTTTAACAAGGTCAAGTCACAATTATCGATTAATTGTTTGTACTTACATTCACTTCTGTTTCACATGGGATGGAGTAAGTGTTTTAAGTAATGAATACGCAATAAACATCGTCCAAAAATCCATGAAGTAATTTACATCAAAGTACTAAAAATGTATACGAGTTGTTGCATAATGACGAGCAAACATTACAGATTTAAAGTGAATGAGAAGATGAAGATTATCAGAACTATGTCATCCTATTACACTATTGAGATTTATCAAAAGGATTAATTGCTTTAAAGCGAATACTTATAAATTAAAAACTATACTTTGTATGTAGTCGTTTTGAATATTCTCATTGAAAATAAAGTTATATACATGAATGAGAACAATATTCAGTAGTAACAGCATATCTTATTAAAATATGCTTTGTTCGTGAATATGATCCAATAATGAAATTAATATTAATTCAGCTAAATTGTCAAGTTTCAAAATTAAGTTATTTCAGTCATTAATTGATTAATCTTTCTTATTTAACACAATTAACCCATAACTGATAATTAGAATTTCTAAACAAAACAGCTCTTAATATAAATTTTTGTAATATGAAATGATTGAGAAGATATGTAGTTCAGAAGAATGTTCTGTTGGTGTTGTGTTCTCTCAGTTAGATAGTTGGATTATGAAAATCCTATAGCCACTCTGAACAACATAAGTAATTTATTGTCCACTTGACTCAACGATAGTAGGACGATAATGATGTTAAAGAAATGTAAATACTTTACTTGTCGTACCATATATTCTGATGACTCAACAATTTTAAACCAAGGCTACGTCAAAAGTTGAAAAAAACGAATATATTAGATACACATATTTCATGCGTTTGTTTACAGATAGATGACTAGATGAACTACTCAACAAATAACAAGTGACTCACTATGAAAAAGGGACAAGTACATAAACACATCTCTACTAGCATACACACATTCTCAAGGTCACAAATATAAAGAACAAAATGACTAAAAAAGAACAGAATAATCCATCTGTCCAAAGGTTGGAATAAATCACGTAGGCGTGTAAAAATACAGATTGTTAAAGTAGACTCTGATAATACAATGTTGTACAAACAAACCGTTACAGATTCACATAACACAACTCTAACAAAAGTACATGATATCAAAAAAAGTTAACCCCTTATTATTATGATGTGTATGTATGGTTTTCAGTTTCCTTCAGAAAAACCCTGAAAGAATTTCATAATCTTTCGATTCTGTATCAGTTAGTTTAGATACAGTTTAGAACGCCTCAAATTGTTCTAAAACCTTTTTTAATAAGAATGAATTCAACATTTGAAATGCATCAGAACCAATACAGCTTCATGTCGATAGTATTATTCTCCATTTGTCTGGACAATCTATCATAACTTTATCGTGACAAAATAGTTTGTGAAGATTTGTTCAACAAATTTTAATGAATTGCAATATCAATGTACTTTATCGGTTCAGTGTTATTTAAACGTCATTAACAAATATTATATTCTTTTATTTACACATTTTTAATTATATACGAAGCCACTTGGATATTTTGTTGATAACTACTCCATCTGGAAATTTTTAATTTCTACTAACTCTTCATTAAACTAGTTGGACACTGAATTAGCGATCGAATAACTCAATGGAACATCTGAAGTATTGTTGAATATAGGCTAAGATTCAAAGTAGAGATCAACATGAGGAATCATACTGTAAACTATTACACAGATAACATACACAGTAATTCTGATTACTTGAGCACCTTCAAAACATGTCTTGGCGAGTTAACGTACTAGTGATGTTCATAAGACCCGGAAAAATGAGATTATCTCCATAAAGTTACGTCATCGCAACATTTGACATTCCTACTACAATTTTGGAGTTATATGACTTCATTAATTAATAAGATGCTCTACAGTAACTATAAAAAGTACTACCTGTTGTCTAATCCAAATAATAAAACGTCTCGGCGAAAACACCATCTACAAATGTAATTTCGTTTATTTAGTAAACGCTTTGTAATAATGTAAAAGAATCTTGGCTTAGATATATGTTTTTGGTTTTGTTATGTTCTCTGAGCTGGTTTTTAATGTTGTTTTACAACAGGTCATCAGAACTCACTTCAAATGGAAGTGTTGGGTTTAATTAGTCCATAAATGTTGAATCAACCGGTTGCTATGACAATTCTAGATCAATAAAATTCAAAGAATTGAAGAGAATTTATGTGATCATGGTACTTACGTCAGCCTGTGATGAAGAAGCAGATTGATATAGACTCTGTTAACCAACCTACTCTGTATGGATCAACTAATTACGTGCAAAGAAGTAAAACACGAAACTCAATAAGGACATAGACATGAATAATTCTGGCAAAAATTCAGAATTCAACCATCCACTGGCAACGTCATTAAAACCAGATAGCTCAACAATTATGGTTCACTTTTACGTGAAGTAAGCGTTGAGAATGTTGTTTAAGATCATGATAGAAGCTTCGCGATTGAACCATTTAGTTCAGAAAGACAAAGTTACCATAACAAGGTGTATTTCTCTTTTGAATCAATTTAACCGAAAAAGTTAGTGTTATAAACTGGATAATATTTCGGATTGTATTTATTGTCCAAAACTATTCTAAGTGATCAAAGCCAACAGAATACTGTTAGTAATGAACAATTTTTAAATAGTAATTCATACAATACTATCTTAGTGATTCACTCATTAAATGAGATTATAGAATCCGATTATCAGTTAAAACACAGTTTTCCTCCAATTACTAAATATTCTCAATAGATTTTATATGAAAAAGATAACATGTGACTTTTGATTTTACTTTGTCTTACAAGTAATTGATCTTTGTAGTAAACAAATCCGTTTCAAAATAAAATGATTGAATATTACATGCAAACTACTAACTAGAATTTCACTTTCTCCATCGCTTATTAGTTGATAAGTTATATTGTGAAAAACAATTGGGGAAGACTTATCTTTAAAGTCAATGAATTGCTGTTTCCTTTAAAAGGAATATTCATCAGTATTCATGAATTGGCGAAATAAAAATGAACAATTAATGTAACAATTAATAATCTCTTTGATTGAGATCATGAATCGATTGATGTTAGATCACCATTGAAAACCTGAAAGCACTGGACGGTTTTCAATGTGGTCTAACATCAATCGGTTCATGATCTCAATCAAAAATTTAATAATATCCACAACACTATACTGATAATTAATAATTTGTAGTGAAATTTCTTTTAACCGCATTAAATTCATCTTGAATATGATCAAATATTTCAAATACATCAACTTTAAAATGTAAATTCAACGTGATATGCATATTCCAACATTGAAAATGATACTATATTATGATATGAAATTGGATTGACTTACTTGGAAACGACTTGATTTTATATAAATTTTTATTAATAGTGAACGTAATGAACAAATTAAATTTACAAAATATTCATCAGAGTATTCATAAATCGAATTCAAACATTGATCTGTTAGACATTTGATATGATGATTATCGTTATCTAGTGAACTAGTTTTTATTCTCATTAGATCGACAGATTCATTTGAATTATTATCAACATGATATTCAATGGAGTTTTGATTGTTTTTTTCATTATAAGTATTTAACATTTGTAACATTTCACCAAGGAGATGTTCAGCTGTTAATTATAAGAAATACAAATCTATATGATATGAATATAGAAAATCATACTGTAAATCAGAATGTTATCCTCAGAAACTATCTAATATGTGTATCTATTCAACTTTAGAAAATATTTCTGGCCGATATATACTGCATAAAAATGCCTGTGAAAGTGGTGTTTTAATCAAAAGATTTATTGTTAACTTTACCAAGTAAAGAAAATTGTTAGAGTATAGGAATAGATAACTCCGACTGGAGTCCCTCCGGGGGCCACTGCCGGGCATGGGATTAGCGACCTCATCCCGTAGAGAACTAACTCGCTAAAAAAACGCTAACCAGAAAAAATTATTCAAACCTTTTAAACTCTGCCCTGGGAGTCAGAAGGTCTTCATTTAGAAGAACTATGACGCCTCTTGACGAAAGCCGAGTCCCTTCGGAAGTCACGAAGCCGATGCCCCTTCTGACAACCAGAGCAACCATTTATTTACGTACAAGGAATACTCGTACAATGTGGGAGACCGTGAGAGTCTTCCAAGTTGCTGCAGAAATGAGGAGATACAACCGAGAGGTGCTTGGGATCAGTGAAACACGTTGGACGAAAGTTGAACAATAACGACTAGCTTCAGGAGAGCTTCTGATAAACTCCGGCCATGATGAAGAAAATGCACCACATACACAAGGAGTTCATTGATGCTGTCCAAACAAGCACAAAATGCACTTATAGGATGGGAATCTCATGGACCAAGGATCATCAAAGCCTCCTTCAAAACAAGGAAATGGGGCATTTCAATGAGCGTAATCCAATGCTATGCGCCTACCAACGACCACAATGAAGACGCTAAAGATCAATTCTACAATAGGCTGCAGTCAATCGTCGAGAAGTGCTCAACAAAGGACCTGACCATTCTGATGGGCGACTTAAATGACAAGGTTGGAACGGACAACACTGGATATGAAGACATCATGGGACGACACGGACTGGGAGAAAGGGACGAAAATGATGAGAGATTTGCAAACCTATGTGCCTTCAATAAACTGGTCATAGGCGGAACTATATTTCCACATAAACGCATTCACAAAACCACATGGACTTTACCGGATCACACTACACACAACCTAATCGACCATATCTGCACCAGCGAAAAGTCCAGGAGGACGTGAGGATGTGAGAACCAAGAGAGGAGTTGTTATAGCCTCAGATCATCACTTGCTGGTGTCGAAGATGAAGTTGAAACTCAAGAAGTACTGAACAACGGGACGGACAATATCACAAAAAATCAATACGGCCTTTCTTCGGGATACTGACAAACTCAACAAATTCAAGATAGTCCTCAGCAAAAGATTTCAGGCCTTTCATGATCTACTCAATGAAGAGAGAACTACTTTGGAGAACAATTGAAATGATATCAAAGAAGCAATCACTTCAACATGTCATGAGGTTCTGAGTCACAAGAAGCACCATCACAAGGAATGTATCACTGTTGATACATTGGATAAGATTCAGGAAAGGAGGAACAAGAAGGCGGCAATCAATACCAGCCGAACAAGGGCAGAAAAAGCCAAGGCACAAGCTGAATACACAGAAGCAAACAAGCAAGTGAAGAGGAGCATCAGAACTAACAAACGTAAAAATTTGAAATATTCCCATATTGTAAATTTAGAACAACATATATAAGCGAACAATATTGATTTCGATTTGATCCTCATCAGGCTTTACTGTAATATACAGTAATATTTGTATGCATATACGAAATCATTAAACCAATCAAGGTAGTTTACAAGTCAATGATAACAATGAAAACGATTACATAATAAGTGAAACTAGAGCAGTAAAGAGAACGTTTAATGCTGCCAACCTCTGCCTATCGTATTCGACCCGATCGATGGTGATTCCGCAATTGAAGGATAAGTTACCTGGTTATGCCACTTCTATGTGTATCTACGAATTCAGCTGCTCCTGTGGAGAAAGCTATATTGGGCGCACTACCAGACAACTGAACCAACGAGTTAGTGAACACCTCACTTCGTGGTTAAGAAAAGGTTACGTCAAAACAATACGCAGCTCGGTTCTATCACACTTGATCGATAGCGGTCATATAGTGGACAGAAACAAGTCGTTCAAAGTTATTTATCGTATTCCCACTAGTTTCCCTTATGGTGTTCGATCTCGTCTCTTACACATAGCAGAAGCTATAGGAATCCGAGCCAACAAGCCAAGTCTTTGTGTTCAGAAGAAATTTGTAACACACTTGTCTCTCCCTTGGCCTTAAGTAATAAATGAATTTATTTATTCTTTTTTCTAACTTTCTCTTCGTTTATTATTTTTCCTCACCTCCTCCTACCACTTTATTCTCTCTCAACTATACGTTTCATGGTCCAATTATCTGAACATTTCTTATTACGTCATCCCATAATTTTATAAATGTTATCTCAGTTTCTATATTTTTCTAATCACTGACCTATTTCCGATTATGTAACATTGATTTGAGCCTTTATTATTCTTATCAAAACTGATGCACCTTTTGTCACACCATCAACTTGTACTTTTCACGTTTCACTTATTATGTAATCGTTTTCATTGTTATCATTGACTTGTAAACTACCTTGATTGGTTTAATGATTTCGTATATGCATACAAATATTACTGTATATTACAGTAAAGCCTGATGAAAATCAAATCGAAAACAATATTGTTCGCTTATATGTGTTGTTCTAAACGTAAATATGTGGAAGATTTAGCAGCGACGGCGGAAAAGGCTGCAAGAGAAGGAAACATGAGACAACTGTATGACGTAACAAAGAAACTCTCTGGAAATCACCGTAAACCAGAAAGAATAGTGAAAAGCAAGGAAGGCAAGGTAATCACCAATATTGAAGAACAACGAAACAGGTGGGTGGAACACTTCAAAGAACACTTGAATCGACCAGCTTCACTGAACACACCCAACATCGAAGCAACACCCACGGACCACCCACTCAATGTTGGCCCACCAACAATTAAAGAAATCAGCATGGCCATCAGAAAAATCAAGAGTGGCAAAGCAGCAGGATCAGACAACATTCCAGCAGAGGCACTAAAAGCAGACGTAGCGGCAACTGCACGGATACTCCACATTCTCCTCAATAAGATTTGGGATGAGGAACAAGTACCAAAAGACTGGAAAGAAGGACGTCTGGTCAAAATACCAAAGAAAGGTGATCTCAGCAACTGTGATAACTACAGGGGCATCACACTTCTCTCAATACCGGGAAAAGTCTTCAACAGGGTATTGTTAAACAGAATGAAGGACTGCGTAGACGCCCAACTTCGAGACCAACAGGCAGGATTGCGTAAGGATAGATCGTGTACAGACCAAATCGCAACTCTACGGATCATTGTGGAACAATCAATTGAATGGAATTCATCACTCTACATCAACTTCATTGACTACGAAAAAGCATTTGACAGCGTGGACAGAACAACACTATGGAAGCTTCTTCGACACTACGGCGTGCCTGAGAAGATAGTCAATATCATACAGAGTTCATATGATGGATTAAACTGCAAAATCGTGCATGGAGGACAGGTCACAGACTCGTTCGAAGAAAAGACTGGTGTCAGGCAAGGTTTCTCACTCTCACACTTTCTCTTTCTCCTGGTGGTCGACTGGATCATGAAGACGTCAACATCTGAAGGGAAACACAGGATACAGTGGACATCTAGGGTGCAGTTGGACGATCTAGACTTCGCAGACGATCTGGCCCTTCTATCGCACACGCAACAACGAATGCAGGAAAAGACGACCAGTGTAGCATCAGCCTCAGCAGCAGTAGGTCTCAATATACACAAAGGGAAAAGTAAGATTCTCCAATACAACACAGCATGCACCAATCCAATCACAGTCGACGGAGAAGATTTGGAAGATGTACAAACCTTTACATATCTGGGCAGTATCATTGATGAACACTGTGGGTCTGATGCAGATGTGAAAGCGCGGATCGGTAAAGCAAGAGCAGCATATTTACAATTGAAGAACATCTGGAACTCAAAACAGTTGTCAACCAACACCAAGGTCAGGATTTTCAATACAAATGTCAAGACAGTTCTCTTGTTTAGGGCGGAAACCTGGAGAACTACCACTACCATCATCCAGAAGATACAAGTGTTTATTAACAGCTTTCTACACAAAATACTTCGGATCCGTTGACCAGACACTATCAGCGACAACCTATTGTGGGAGAGAACAAACCAGATCCCAGTGGAGGAAGAAATCAGGAAGGAGCGATGGAAGTGGATAGGTCACATATTGAGGTAAGCACCCAACTGTGTCACAAGACAAGCCCTCACATGGAATCCTCAAGGTCAAAGGAAAAGAGGAAGACCAAAGAACACATTACGCCAGGAAATGGAGATAGATATGAGAAAAATGAACAAGAATTGGATGGAATTGGAAAGGAAGGCCCGGGACAGAGTGGGTTGAAGAATGATGGTCGATGGCCTATGCTCCATTAGGAGTAACAGGCGTAACTAATGAAAGTAACAGGAATAGATAATCTATTCATTAGATGAAAATGACATGTTCTGCCTACAAGTCACTAGAATATATTTTATTACTGAGATTTTCCAGTTGATGAATTTTTGTGAACAAACCCATAATAAATAATATTTAGATCTGTTATTATCATAATTTATTTCGTTCTAATGACTACTATTAAAGGTTAATCGAAAATCTTCAGTACACTGAATTAAAATTTATCTTGTTCACTTACACGTTGATGACACAAATGAATAAGCTATCTGTTTTATTTAAAATGTTTGACAGATTCTTTTTAGCATCACTTAACGAAAAGATAAAAATAATACGTTTTAGTAATATGATAAAGGTACAAATGATGAATGACTGAGTACTGTCAGTAAGCCAAAACTTAGTGTTTAGTATTGAAATGATGAACGCAATGTAAAGGAAATCTGATTGTATTAAATTACCTTCTAATTATTACATATCTAACGAAATAAGAGAGGAATTAAATTTTTTTAACATCAAACAGAAATTACATATAAAACATTTCTGTTACTCATTTGGATCTCTTTAAAACAATTACTTAATCCAAATATAGTGGACTGTAATCCTTACTCTAAAAGGATGTTATAATAATTGAATAGTTTGAAATCTATACAAGTTGATTAACAAAGAACACCTAACTATAAATAAAACACATTATTTCTTTGATAATACAACATATTAATCCACATTTTATTGATACTACCAATATTTTAATGTTAAATCAGTACAAAGACGAAATTTAGTATCCTCTAATTAAATGTATGACATTTTATGTTCTAAATCAGAATTTATAAAAAATTTCGTCTAAATTTAAACAAAATAGTTTCACAATAATTGAGCGTCGATTTAATGTAAGACAATGAAAGAAAATCATATTTGTAAAAATCTCAGTAATTAAACTTTAAGTAAATCCAACGTTTGACTCGGTAATCTGATTCAAGCTTTTACACGAAAATATAATCAATCATCAAAACTATCGATAATCGAAAAAGCTCGGATCAGATTGCTAAGAGAAACGTTGAATTTAGTTAAAGTTTTGTTCGCTGGTACTTTTATAAATATTGTTTTCTTCTTTAATATCTCAATCAGAATGAATGAGGAATATTATTTCAGTATGGCTTGTTTCATACTAATCACAATAACTATATATATATACTACAATACAAACATTTAATGTTTCCTGAGAAAAAGAAATTATAAAATAGAATATTTATTGGCATATATTTTCTATTACAAACATACGTTAGTTATACATAAATAAAATAAACAGATTATGTAATATTATTCAGCACTGCATGTTACTCACTATCATCCAAATTTAAATTGAGTTTCATGTAAACTGTACACAATAGATAAACTGAACGAATAAGGTCAACCATGGAACTGAAACTGTCTTCTTTGTAGTAACTATATGTATTTTTCAGAATAATAAAACCATATTATCATGATCATAAAAAAGTTACTGACTAAGTTATAAAGAACACTTTAGAAATGATTGAGTAATAAATAAGTCTGAATAAGAATGTAACATTATGTTCCTATTCTTGTCAGTCAGTCAGTCACTAACGACGTAGAACTTCGTACGTACGTACATCAGTTCGATATGCCATACCGCATTAGCACAGAGATGCAGTTGTCGATTCAAATCCCGTAATGGTAGAGGCGGTAAGAGTATAAGCAGTAATTGGGAAGATAAGGGTTTGAAGATGTTATTTAAAGAGTATAATCTAGTGAAATAAATTTGAAAAGAAAAAAAAGAGACAAGGAGGATTCAGGAGATTAGTTTCCCAGAAATTACTTCATAAAATTCCATACAGTTATAGTTATTAAGTATTTGTTAGCCCGACACTATCGAGCAGAATTTTCTACAACTGTACAATAATGACTGAATGACATATTTGGAATAATGTAGATCTAAACATAGTACACGCTTAGACCGTCCAAATTAACAAGTATTGGTAGTATCAGTGTTGTGTGACTCAATTGTTTGCCAAAAAGATAGTGAATGATATCAGACGAGTTACAACAATTTCCATTCATATTTCAAAATCGCAAAGCAACTCAGAAGGATCTTCCAGTCCATAAGTTTATCTTTCAACATTCAATTTGATATCCTGCTAGTATGTCGAATATGTAAAATATTCGGAAATATGAAACAAGCCTTTTTATATCTATGTTGACATGAAAAAAATATAAAGATTGAGGTAAAATAAATATTTACAAAGTTGAGCCAACTTACCAGGAATATTTTCAAGAGAAAAATATAGCTAGCTATCCCACCTAATAAATGAAAATAAAAGAACTCACATTTTGTTAGAAATTTCATAGGCTTTTTTAAAATAGTCTATAGATTTTTCCATATCATCCTCACTACTTTGATATTCAATCTGGAAAAAACAAGAAAACTATAAGACAAAATTCATTGAATATAAATAGATCAATTTCAAAATGATTAAATTCTATATAATTAATCAAGATTTGAATAATTATGTATATCTATTTTTTAAAATCTATTTTCTATATAAGTATAGATGGATAGTGGCTAGCAGTGGGATTCAGGACACGCGTTTCATCCCATTTGGAACTCGTTAGCTGGATGCAGGGAAGCAGGTACATTTGGCTAATGAGTCTCAAATAGGAAGAAACGCGCGTCCAGGATTCCACTGCTAGCTGCTATCCGTTTTTGCTTAGAACACTTGTGAATCAATGCAATATCGAGGCAATACGCACATATGCCAATAAGAGACTGATCAATTACAGTCCTTAACGTTCAAACAATCAGTACCAAAATGAATTATTTTCTATACAGTTTACAGAAATGTAGAGAATAGTATATTTGAATTTCGGTTCATAGTGAAATCAGGGAAGAAGTGTGCATCTTCAGTTTAATTTCAAATCCTAGTTTGGAATATACTGGAACTTATGACTAAGATCAGTTTCGAAGCAATCTCCTCATGATGCCCATTCACCAAGTTAGATTGATCATTTGTGATGCTTAATAGAAACGGTAGGAAAATTGAAACCTGTTAATATAAGTAAAGGGATTTTTAGACAATATAGAATAACAAATCAATTGTTTATACTTCAATTAAATTGCTTTTTCTGGTTGGTGTATATATAGAGAGTAAATTTTTTACTGGATCTAAAGCAAGACAATATACGAACGGGCTAAAAAATATTTTCAAGTCTATGCATTTCCTGACAAGGACGTTGTTTTACATGTTCACTGTCAAAATGATATCATTTATTGACTTAAAAAAGGATTATTAGGGATCTAAGTTTGGTTTTTTTCTTACTAACTCTAGTTTGTACCATTATCTCTTCAGTAAATTTGTGATAAGTCCCAGTTATTAGAATGAATAGAAATGCGTAATCAAGATAACAAACGATATTTATATGAAGCCACACAAATTATATGTACGATTTTAGATGTTTTAATTAAATCCACTCCATTTAAATATAATTTTAGCCCGACATTTCATACACAGAAGGAATACTTACATTTTAAGAGTTATCTATTACCAACAAGCTTAATTTTGTAGTTTTCTGTACCATAAATATATAGAACTTCAGTGAATTTTATGGTCGATTTGTGTATTTTGAAAGACATGTACTGTATGTTAGAACCAATGACCATGATTAAATTTATGATTTTACAAGAACCAACTTCTTGGATTTCCAACTAATTACTTTACTTAGGTTCCTTTGCAAAATTTCAAGTGATAAATGTCAGCCAACTATATTTCCAATCGACAATGTTTATGCGTCATAAAAGGTCAGCAATTTATGTTCAAACACTCCGTAGTAAAATCTTGAATTGAGTCCAGCTGTCTCAAACCAAATGACCATACTAATTTGTGGAATAATACAATAGATATTAAAAATCTATATTTAAAACTCGTATGATTTGGTAGCAACAAGTTAAAACTTTCAATATTTTACAGATGATAATACTACTTTCTTGTGATTGACTGCGTAAGACATTGAAACTTAGATTTATCCTGAAAGGTGGTGGATCAACAAACTGTAGATACTAAACAAGTATTGGTAGCTGAAGAAGCTTTTGAGTGTTTATCTCGTTACAGTGAAGCAATTAAGATAATCAACGACTTATACGGCAGATGCTAACAAAGAAGAACCAACAATCCACTTTCAATCAATACACTGAAATGTATAATGAAGGTCCTTGTAGCATAATTTAAATACATTTTCTGTGTTTTTAATTTTCCATCCTCGAAACTTTAATTTTCAGTAGATAAAGTGAGTTAGCATTATATTTCAATGCTACACAAGTGTTCATTTGCTTATGTACTGTTGAACTACTTCTTTGTAAAGAATATGAAAGCCAATTCACGAACCACTCATTTTTTACGATGATAAAGAAGAGATTTTACTTAAGGCCAAGATTATGTTGTCACGTTTCCTAAACTGAAAGATCTAAGTACAAATCCCTATCAACTTCCTAATGTGAGATACCGTAATTAACTTGAATAAAATTCTAGTATGAGAGCAAAAACTATACAACTGAACTATCAACATAACTTCTCTAAATAAACTGACTTTTTATCAAAACGAGTGAGTTGTTAATATCAAAACTAACACTTACATGAGCAAGTGCGTGATAAACTGATATCATTTCTTTACTCTCTGGACCATATGTCTTCTCTATGAATTTCAATGCTTGCATATATTGATCAAAAGATACAACATATTTCTCACATTCAAATGCAATTCTAAATAAAGTACACATAATATTCATGAACATTAAAAAACGGTTCACAGTGAAAAGCGCTTGAATCAAATTCATTTATCGCAACTATCATCTTTTTTTCCTTATGCATTTGAACACATTTAGGAGGAAATAAATTTTTAGCCTATTTATTTCAAGCAAATATTGTAAATTATGTAAATTTTTAAAATTCGATCTTCTGGAAGAAAATAGCTAACTTAAGTCATGCGGCATCTTATTTCTGTCATATGTATTTAAACGAGAAATTCGCAGATAACTGGCAAAAACAGAATTGCTAACACTATCTAAATATAGTGATTGTGTTAAATATCAATATAGGATGGTAGAGATTATTGACTTTCATTGAAATCATGAACAGATCAATGTTTAGTTACCACTGAAAACCTGAAAGCACTGAAAGGCCGTTTCCTCCTAATACAGGACTCCACAGTAGTGTGCATCTACGATCCCTGACGAAGGAATCGAACCCAAGACCTTCCAAATTCCATATATAATTCGATAGTTCTAAAACAAGTATTAATTGTTTAAGTTTCCTCATCCGTCAAGTGACTACAATATTATAATAATGCATCTAATATATACATAATTCATAGAAATAGTTTAAGTATAGTAAAATACTTACTTTCCATACAAACAATAAATGCAAACTTTTAAATTTTGCAAATTTGGATAAAATTTTTTATCTAATCTTATTAAAGTACAATGATTCCATTGTTGATAATAATTTTCTAAATATCTATCAAATTGTTTGGAATTATCTTCATAATTATCAATATTTTCTAAACTATTTTTAGATTTTTCAATTGAATCAATCAGCTGTTCAACTTTATTTAATGCCTTTTCAGCTTGTCTGATTGAACTGAACGCATCTTTTGTCCTGATAAAATAAATGAAGGTATATTAGGGTAAATAAATGAGAAGACTAAAGTTATAACAATGATGTGGTAAATTTATGGATTATATTTCGAACAATCTGATGACATGATGCTTATTAAGACATTATATATTTGAAAAATAAAAGGCAAACTAGACAAACTGGAAAATGAAAGGAAACAAAGATAGTAATATAGCACGTTTTGTGAAAACTAAGTTGAATAATGAATCAGTATTACTAGCGTAGATTATGGGTTAGAATTGATTGTTTTTAAACACACAAAGGAAGATTTACTCTTCCTATATCCGAACCTTCAATAAATGTTAGTATACGCGGTTGAACACTTTTATATGATAATATAAAGGCTGACTTAGTATCAACCTTATAACCTTAAGATGTATAAATAGACTGTTCAATTTAACATTATTGTATACTTAAGAAATGTTCATAATTAATTCTTAGATGAGTAAAGAAATTTCACTAGAATATATGATTAGTGTAGAGTTGTGAAGTTTGTTGGCTTTCATTGAAATCATGAACCGATCAATGTTAGACCATTAAAAAAAACTTGGAAATAGTAGACGTTAACACCGTTGGATGCTGGCTCAGTGGTATAAAGGTTATATACGTTCGCGTGCGAGACCGGAGGTCTTGGATCTGAGTGCTGCGTACACAGTCATAGGCGTGCACTATTGAGGAATCTTATATTATGACATAACAGCCATTCGGTACTTACAGTTTGTCAGTGGTGGTCTAACATTGGTCGGTCCATGGTTTCAATGAAATATATGAAGCTAATCTAACTATTTAATAAAGTAATTATTTAGCAGAGATACAATAAAGGATACGATGACTAATTAGCAGTAACCAGTGATTTATCTTTGATTTTGATCAGCTTCTGTTTATTCAGGTTGTAAAGTGAACAATACGTTAACTGACTCAAAATTACATACCAATCTAAATAGTTCACTGGTAAGGTTTTTAAATACCATACTTGGAGTTCCAATATGTAAATGAATATAAGTTCAGTTAAGTATAAAACTAAGATTTATTGGTTTCTGATTAGTACCTCCGGATATCTAACATAGAAATGTCAAGCAATATGAATATGCTAATTTAATTAAATCTATTCAGGAAGAATTCCAAATAAAATGATTGATAAGATATTGATTGTATGATTTTCACTTTATCAGTACAGGGATTGAAATATAAACATATTACTTGACTACATAATTTTCTCTCAAATATAGTACATTTAATAGATTTATTTACTTGAACTTTTAGAATTGATTTTACGTAAAACAAAGCTCTTATAACTACAGGATTCCATTTCCTAGTCTCAGATTTGAATTAACTACTTATCTGATTTAAGAAATCAATGAGTTTTACAATTATTATTCAGCACTCGAAGTTGTGGAAGATTATAGTAAAAAGTGATTCGGTTTATTATTCAAAATCTTTTAGATGAAAAAAGAATATTTTAAAATTGAAACTACTGATTATGAAATAACTGAATTGTTTCACTTTTAAGGCGTTATTTAAGAGTAATTTTCGCGAGAAACTGATATTAGTTAACAACCACCGTCGTTTATGTACAGTACTAAACACAGTTTGGTTATTAATTTTGGATTATTAATCAGTCTCCACCCAATTACAACTCTATATGGAATTAAACAGAGGATTCTTAGAGTTTCTGGTGGTCAAAATAAAACGAGTAACGCTCAGATTCTACTAGCTCATAATATAAGGGATCCTACATCAAGATTATTTGTAAGTTACTGCTGTTTTTTTAACATTATAGACTCAAGAAAAAAAAATCTCATTTGTATTAATAAGTTGACCACTTACTTTTTTAAAATTATTTTTGATTTTGCTAATGTATAATAATTCAGTAAAACTATACAAAGAATAAGTAAATTAGCATGATCATCAGAATTCTGTTGATTCATTTGCTGACTAGTAGAATTTAAATATAATGATATTAATTTCATGGAGTTTTCTGCATGGCTTTCAGCTTGTAAAGCATATTCTGAATAGAATAAAATAATTATTTATATAATGATAATTAAAAATGCCAACAAATATGAAAAAAGGTAAATACATTGAAACATTAAACCGTTCTAACTTGATATAACCGTCTGTAGAAAAGGAACATATAAATAGTGTTTGGACAATGACAAAATTAAACAGGCAAGTGGACATGAAATACATAACCATATACCGTTTCTAATATCTTAAGGACTTCAGGTTAAAAATGACATTGACTCAAATCCCTGATACCAGTGAATAATAAATTTTGGCTTGTTTCGATGGACTGATGCGAATACAAATGAGTTTCCCAACTTCCTGTCTTTACATCTAAAATCATATGGTGAGACATGTTGCCTATGACCTATTTAACTCATTAGTACCAAGATCACAACATCATGAACCAGTCAACTTCACATTTTGGAATTCTATGTCAGATTTTACTCTTTATTCTATTATTCTGTGGCTACAGTTGACTAAACTCGTAATCAGAAAACTGTAATTTCATCTAGTCGTTCAATATCAAAGTACATAGACAACAGCCAAAAGGTAAAACTTTGCAGGGTGACATGTTGTGCTGTTTAAATAAGCTCTAGTAGTCTGTAAAGCATGAATATGTCAAGATTGGTAGTTAATCCTACAAATAACAAAACTGGTTGAGATTTAAAACCGTTTGACTTCATTTTGTCCTATAAATGCTAATATTTAAAATATTGTATTCATGATTATTGTAACTTATAAGAATGACTTTCATTCGAAACTTTTTTTATTTATTATCTAATAATTTAATGTGGAAAAGATTCTCCGATACAACACAGCATGCAGCAATCGAATCACACTTGACGGATAAGATTTGGAAGATGTAAAAACCTTTACTTATTCGGGCAGCATCATTCATGAACACGGTTGGTCTAATGCAGATGTGAAGGCGCGGATCGGCAAAGCAAGAGCAATATATCTATAATTGAAGAATATCTGGAACTCAAAACAACTGTACACAAGCCAACACCAAGGTCAGAATTTTCAATACAGATGTCAAGACAGTTCTACTGTATGGGGCGGAAACTTGGAGAACAAGTGTATAGTAACAGTTGTCTAAGCAAAGTACTTTGGATCCGTTTGCCGGACACTATTAGCAACAACCTAATGTGGGAGAGGACAAACTAGATTCGAGCAGAGGAAGAAATCAGGAAGAAACGCTGGAAGTGGATAGGACACACATTGAGGAAAGCACCGAACTGCATCACAAGGCAAGTCTCTAGATGGAATCCTAAAGACCAAAGGAAAAGAGGAAGATCAAAGAACACATTACGCCGAGAAATGGAGAGAGACACGGGAAGAATGAGCAACACTTGGATAAAACTAGAAAGGAAGGACCAGGACAGAGTGGGTTGGAGATTGTTGGTTGGTGGCCTGTGCTCTCTAATGGAGGAAACATGCCTAAGTAACAATTTAATTTTAATTTTCTAGAATTTCAACAACAATAACAAAATAACTCACTTTCACCTTTCCAATTAATATAAAAATAACCAAAACAACATTGATATTGAGCATGATGCCAATCATCTATTTCATAAATCATTCTACTAAATGCAATACATTTACATAACATTTGAAATATAGAATTATCCTTCTAAAATAAAATTTAATTATTAATAATTTTTATTTGTTATTTTTGAATTACATTTAAACAATTTAAAATAGATTCATTTATCATTGTTTCATTTTTTGTTAATTGTTCATTAGGTGTTTGTAAAATATTGACATTCTTTTGCATTATATCCTATAAATAATATTAGTAGTATATCATCAAAATTTAAGAATAACAATGTTTAAATGAACATTTTTTTATCTTAACAGATAGTATGATAATCATTTAAAGTCTTAAAAAAAACATAAATCTCAGTTGATATGGTATTCTTTAAGAAATGGGAAAAAATCAAGGTCACAAGATGCTAGAACATGTTATTTATTTTTTCTATTTGTTGTAAGACTCTTTCATTAGTTACTTAAATTCAACGAATGCTATCATAATAACTAAATACACTTTTAGATTTCTTGTCTGAATATGTGGAAGCATTCGACTCTGATAATGATGCTATTTACGGTTAAATCTGATAGTATATGATTACATGATTTCATTGAAACATCTCTACATTTTCATCAGTTCATTGAATAATTTACTAAAATATTTGGATAACAGCCATTTGGTAATTTTCTTTTTTTAATAGTTGACATTAGTCTATCACAATTTAAATTACTAGCTATTTCCTTACTTACTTCTATGATATTTGTGTTCTCGGTTTCCATCGCAAATGTAAACAAAGAAAAAATTTTTATTTAGTCCGATGGTATATCAAAACTCCATGATATTTCTTAACATTCTTTTTAGTTATATTCAACCTGATCAAAGATTAAAGAATTTAAAATTTTTTAGCAAAACTTATCACACATAAAACAAACAAATACGATACCCGCTAAACAACAATAAAATATTTTAAAATATGAATTTGTAAGTAATTTACAACTGGAAACGTTTTGATGATGTTGTTAAAGTGGTAACCAAATATTGTAAATAATTCATATATTTTTGATACAACTATTGTATAACAGTTTACCCAATAACTTTCTTGTGTTTAGAAATAACTATACTTAATCAGTTGTTATATTGTATCATTTACATTCTAACTTTACAGTTTTATTTTGTTTCCCTTCAAATAAACCCTTTTTTTAAAGAATATTTTGAGGAGCAAATGAATAGTATAACTAATTGAAGATGACATTTATTTTTAATATGTAGAAAAATGAATCAATGTTGCTTTCGATTCGATTACTTTCAAGTTACTGTTACTGTTACCATACTTGTTTATATAATTTAAACAGCATTCGAAACTATATACAGGAAGTTGTAAATATTCATGGCTGAATCATTTTTTTCTACCTTATTGACTTTTACAAACCAGAGAGAATCTAAGTTATTTGATAAGTCAGTATAAAATAAGAAACTTGGATGATGAAAAGGTAGTAATAAACACAGGAAATCAGGCATACAAAATGATATGCTAACCAAGATATAATAAAAAAAGAAAGGCAAATATATCTAGATAATGAGACTAATTTTAAGACTGTTATTGGAATGATTAACCTGATGAGTTATAAACCTGATATATATATATATATATATATATATTGACAAAAAAACAGAAGCCATTTGCAACCTCGTATATATAAGTATGACGCAAGAAAAATTTTATTGGAATTAGTAGTCAAGATAATAGAAAGCTACTGTACACGTGCTGGAAGAAATGATATCCCCAGCACTTAATAATTTAAAGCTTAAATGGTTTTAGAAGTCGGCAAATCACACCTTATTTTAAGATGTTCTACGGTTTATAATACTGAAGTTATCCAAATGCACTTTTAAAATATTGAAAAATACTAACAAATTAAAGTTTTTAATATAATCACTGGTGGATTAGGTTGAAAGTTTTAATTCTTAATTTTTAAACGATGTTTCATTAAGCCAACAGTTCTTAAAAGAGAATAGTTTGCACCCGATCTATCAAGTTATTGTTAGTCAAGTACTCCTATGACTCTTCATTGCGTAACTAGAATAAGAACACACATGCCTGCGTCGGCGTTGAATGTCGCGGATGCTGGGTGAGCATCAGATGCAGATGGCTCAGTGGGTCAACGGAGCAATCGAGGTCAGTGCGCCACAGACTCGACATTTTGACGGAGAGCGTGCACATACTGCAGAAAAGAAGTGGCATGGCGAGCAGAACCACTACAAGAACAACTGTTAAAGTGGAGAACGATTATTGTGTGTGCTACCAATGTTGACATATATAAGCAGTATGTATCACCAGTCAAATGTGAAATGTATGGCGGCAGAAGGTTGAGAAAGTCGAAGAGAAGAGAACGAGGACAGAGGGTGATTAGTATGGAAAGGAAGGAACAACAATGTCGAGACAACTGCTGGATATTTTGCAAATGAAGTATTCACTGTAAGGTTCTCAGATTTTACCAAGAGATTCTGTAGTTTTACGTTTAAATACATTTATTTGTCCCAACTCGTATTCTCATTCACTACAAAATTAGTGGTACTATATTAAAGCCATTAAAAACTTCTGCAGATGGCTTCGGACCTTTAAATGTTAACTCTCGCCAACTATGCATAAAGTAAGTGATTATTTAGTCCCAAACGCCATTGCAGTTAGCGAGGTATAATGTTTGATCATCTACTTCTTGAATTCTGTACTAATGCATTACCATTCCCGTAAATCGTCGGTGCTTTTATATTCAAGTGGCTAAAATGTTTGAAAACTAATGACTAACTTCACCGGTTCTAAAATGTAAGCCTGAAGTTAGGTTCCAGGAGTAGTGGCCTGTTATACACTGGTCACAGTACTAGCCACTACCAAGGTATCAACAGAACACCGTCTCTATAAGGTCAAGAACATAAAGACCTATGAGTAATTACATTCGAAGAACTAAAAATTACAATGGGTTGGCTTATAAAAGATCTCACAGCTTATGGTCACCTCTCAAAGACTTCAAATACTTAAAGGAAGATAATTTCCGGGTTTATTGCCCAAGAATATGATACGTAATCAAGGGCACTGCACCTAATTAGATAGTCCATATCTTACCAAAGATGACACAGTCATACATGTTCAAATTGACTGCACTAGATTAGTGGGAGACGTTTTCAACCTCTTCTATTAAGGGAGTTTAGAAAGCCTGAGTTTATCATTTATATCTTAATATAGAAAACGAAACTTTCGTATATTGACACAACGTACTATAACTGATAATCTTGGGGCCTAAGTGCATTACAATATTGTCTCTTCTAAGACCAAAAATCTTCTATGATAATAAAAACGATCAAAAAATTAAGATAAAAATAAACTAAGGGTAGAATGCTGTTTTTTGCATACTATAGTTAGAACATGATACGCAAGCTAACTGGTTCAGGCTGCCATACTCCAGTAGCACGGAGTAACATTTTCAGGCCAAATCCCAGAATAGTAGATGTAGTAACAGTATCAGTGGTAATGGGAAAAACCAGACATCAAACATACGATTCGAGAAAATATAAATTAATGACCATTAATTTAAAACCAAAACATGTTATGAGGAATTCAGAAGCTAAAATTGGAGGGAAGACATGAGTGGATGCATCTGAGCCATTGTAAATGATTTTGGGTGACGTCGTTTAATTTCTCTAACCATTTGTTATGATAATCACGCACTATAGTGTGTGATAATATGTCATTAGATTTAAATGGTCTCAACGGGACTAGAAAGCTGCTACTCAGTCAAATACTTCACCAAAAAATAAAGCCCCCTAAGAAAATAATTTTCAGTCTTTATTTTGGTGCAAAACACCCTAAACTAGCGTTTTTCAGCGTAGTGAACCACAGCATAAACATATTGCGCCGGAAGCTTAATTTTAATAACTTCTATGTTTGAAGTAACATTATAACCATAACCGCCTGTTATAGTTTTAACAAAATGTTCATTCAAATGGTTCTGGGAAGAATAGAACAAGCTTTTGCTCAATGTCCTTCCGTATCTAGTAACAATGGATCACCGATATCTCCAGGTAAGAACTCAGGTATGTTCAACGACAAAAGATAATATAAAATTAGCAAATTACAGCGAGATGTCGTCCCTCCTAAAGGACCTCTAGAGAGTCGCTTGGACTAGCTCATCTTGCATCGATCGGTGCTGGGACCAGCACCAATACGTATTGGAATTCCAGAATTCATTTGACTACTCTTAAGGAGGTGTGCTTACAGTCGTTCTGCCCAAAACTTTCTGGGTGTTACCCCTAAGGTTTGTGTTGGTGCTAAGTTCAAGTAAGTATTTAAAGGGGTTCCTGAAAACTGTTTAGGATGTTATAAGTCAATAGGAAGGTCACCTCTTATACGCGCATACAGGCGCCTGTACTCTAATGAGTACTAGATTTGATTCCAAATATATTTAGAAGTTGTTTTTTCTATAGTTTTATATTTCGAGAATAGGTAATTTTTGGATGCTATATACATCACAACTGAGTCTAGATTAAAAAGAAACAAAACTTATGCGTTACTATAGTGACGTCTAAAAGGCTCGCGTGAAGTAGCAATTTTGATTGTATGTAGTGAAACGAAAAGAAAATAACTAATATATAAAGTCTTTGAAGTATCTATGAACTGCAGCTAAGTAATTTTTCAAGTTGAACTCATCTGTACCTTAAAAGAACGAATAAAGGAGGGGTTACTTTCAGCTATTTAGTGTTCAATATATGTACAGTGTTAAGCATTTCTGGTGGTTTTCCATCCATTCCATGGAAGAAGTGTGTGCGTTTCATAATAATTTTCTTTTAATTTTTTTTCAAGGTTTATTACCACTTTTTTTCTTTCCTACTCCGGCGAATTGAAGCAAGCAGCAGTTGCGTGTTCATAGAATAAGTAGGGTCGTTTAAATGACAAGTCTTGCCTCACCAGATATCGAACAGTTCGCGGATCCTCATCAAAGTCAAGGACTAACAACTCACACCGGTCAGTTGTACTCCATGTGCTGTCTCGCTCAGTTGTGATCCTGTAGTGTGATTGGGCCCTAACAACTCAATCCTCAATGCTGAACACAAGACAACTGGGAAAACAGATGTGCAATATCTAACGCGGAGGAGAACACAACAATGGAAAATGCAGGGAGAATGAGTGGAGTTAATTCGAATTAGTTCGACGTCATGACTCGGCCTTGCATGCGTGGTCGATCTGTACAACTTGCATTTTATTCATATTATACATACTGTTCTATCTCCAGCCTGAATGCATTCTTCATCATATATTGGTAATTGTTACGATACAATGAGTCAGTGTAGACAATGATATGACTTCCATGTAAGATCCGATAGATTAGGCAGTTACATCATAACAAATCTACCATTTTAGGATTAGGTCTATTATTAGAGCAGTACTGATATCACAGTAGACCATGATTCCGCAATCCTATGGTTTTTTGAACTTATTCCTGCTAATACATTTATATAATATCGTTATGTTCTTTTTATTTGACCATGAAAGTAGCCACAGTACCTGAATGTAACAAAAGGGTAATCCGTATTACGTAATAACCTCGATGTGTGATTGCCACATAATTTCTGAGGTCAAGCTACTCACATCCAACCCGAGTAGGCCTCAACTATCGACACAGACCAGCCACTTAGTTGGTCTATGAATATATGCATATAGATTTGAAGTGAAATGAAATTGGCAGTGACAATAACACTCTTATACGCAGCACTCTAAATGCTACTTCTGTAGTGACTCACATTTATCACGAGAACACGACTGGTTTAATAAAAACAACTATTATTATAACCGACTGTACCAGTGTTTGTTTTAATGTGCTTTTGTTTGACTGTGCTAATGACAGCTATATTTTGCTTCCATTCTTATTCTTACACTTTGATTGTGACTTCGCGCGAATTCGGTTACGTTCTGTAACCAAGCTTGTATCCTGGCACGATCTCGGTATCCTTTCGATACCACGAGATCGCCAGCAAATATATCTTGACTTGGTCCATTAACTGCTTTCTGATATTTGGCTTCTCGGGGATTTTATGGATTTATTTGGTTATGTTCAACCTTCGCCTTCTGATTTATTTGGCACGTGTTTCTTGGTAGCGGTGTTCATAGTTAACCTCAACTCGACGCCACGCTACACTTCAATGCGTCTAGGTTTACTGACAGTTCAGATCCTGGGTATAAGATGGTGGTTAAGAATAGTATTCCCAAGCCCTACTCATTAAGAGGAAGATTGCTAAAAATACGCTTACGGTAGAGAACAAACTATGATATCTACAACCCACCCTAGAATTTTAACGAAGAGTTTAGATGCCTTGTAGTTAAAGTCGAAGTGAATGTTACATCTAACAACCATAGTAACAATTAATATGAAGTGAAGTTACTAACTATAAATCATTGATAGTAATGACAATGATTTCAATCTACTTCAACCATAAACTTAATAAAGTTTCATCACACAAATACTAAGCTGACAAATTGATATTATCAGTTTGCTGTGAAACGTTCCTTGTTTATTATTGTCGTTTTTTACCAGCCATACTGAGCATGCACCTGTCTTGAACACTGCTGACCATGCCTGTAAGAATGGGACGCAGCAGCTTTGTTTGAAATATATTATTATTACAATTGTGTAATGAAATGAATACTAGTATAATCTATCCTAAGTGCCTCATTTGACAATATGTAGTGACATTGGAACCAGCTGAACGGGAGACACTTGGGAAAACAGATGTTCAACATTTAACGCGAGGAAAATCCCAACGATGGAGAAGGCAGAACAATGAATTGAACTAATTCGAGTTGACTGGATGGAATGGCCCGGCCTTGCAGGCGTGATCCCAGTTGATTGTTACCCTTGTAGCGGTAAATAAATCCCCAAAATAAATAGCACTAAGTTTTCGACATTGGATGCTGACCATATGTTTTAGTGGACTCACCTAGCTGAAGGCGCTCGGTCAGTCATCCGCACCAGATCACGTGTGGTAACGCCGTGCTCAACATCAATCGCAATCGCTAGCCAGATTAGATCAGAGAATTCCGATATATTGGTCATCGCCAAATATACTCTTCCGATCTCCTCGACTCTGTCTTTTGATTTCTCTGGGCGGGAACGAAATATATTAGAAGGTGTTACTGGTAGAAGCGTTGTCAAACACTGAATACCTGTGACATCATCATTGGTGAAACCGACGTGATCTGGTACACCTAATTGCAACTGTGAGTCTGTTCCTTTTTGGGAGTTTTATATATCATTGCCTTAATTTTTTAACTTTTTTAAACATTGTGATTTTTTTTCGTGTTTTTTCCTGGATATATATATTTTCCCCTCGTTCATTATCGTACTTCATACTTCATCATGACTGAACAGACACCTAAAGTACTCAAGATTAAGACTTTGTCCCCGCCTTCGTTTCAACTGATGCCTTTCTGGCCCGACAACATCGAAGCCTGGTTTTGCTACGCAGAAGCCGACTTCTCCGAGCACGGCGTGATCGACACACGTGCACAATTCCTCGCAGTAGTCAAGGCACTACCGCGCGAATTCAACAGGTACGTAACACCTAGTATGTTTACTAGTGATGTTTCCGATCCTTACGAAATCTTAAAACGCTCGATTCTTAAACGAGACCTAACCGATCGACAAAGGTTAGATCAACTCTTCAACAATATCGACCTGCAACACGGTTCTGCGACAGACATGTCGCAACGGATGAGAGAGGTAATAGGCCCAAGAACTTTCGACGAAGGCCTATTCAAACAACTCTTTTTGTCAAAACTTCCCCAACAGGTGCAAGCAGTTCTGGTCTCGTTCCAGAACAACGCCTTAGACGAACTAGCTGCATCTGCCGACCGCATTCTAGAAATTACGAAACCTACAACCGAGGTATTTTCAGTCAAAGAAAAGCCTCACACGACTCAGAATGATTTAACCGACTTATGTCACACACTCACGCGTTATCTTAGTCTTCGTACCGACCGTAAGAGATCGCGGACACCACGTAGAAGCATTTCTCGTAAGCGATCTGTCTCTAGACCACGAGAGACAGATAACCCCGACTGGTGCTGGTATCATAACCAGTATGGAAAGTTTTCCAGAAATTGCAGAAAACCCTGCAATTTTCCCAACACGAAACCGACTGATTCGAAAAGCAATTCGGGAAACTTCCAAGCCGGCACGCGTTAACGGCAACCGTAGCCGGCGAACAAAGCCGTCTGTTATTCGTCACAGATGTGACAACGAGAGTTCGCTACCTCGTCGACACTGGTGCAGAAGTTAGCGTTCTTCCAGCAAATCCTAACGACCGGCTTCAGGAATCGGCTTTTAACTTACAGGCGGCAAACGGAAAACCGATCGCTACGTATGGCAAAAGGTACGTTTACCTTAACGTGGGTTTACGCAAACCCATCCACTGGATTTTCGTTGTTGCAGATGTTTCTATGCCAATCATTGGTATGGACCTTCTACAACACCACAATCTGATCATCGACACGCGCAAACGGAGGCTAGTAGACGGAAACACTAATTTGTCCGTTTGCGTAACTTCTTTTACTGGTTGTAGAGTATCCCCAGTCACAGTTAAACATATGATAGACCCACTCTATCAGCCACTACTCGATAAGTACCCTGGGATACAACAAAGTCAACCGAAACTACCGTGTGTAACCAGCAATGTTACACATCACATCACGACTACAGGACCACCTGTATTCTCTAAAGCACGACGACTAGCTCCTGAAAAGCTAAGGTTAGCGAAAAACGAATTCGATCACATGATGGACTTAGGAATCATACGACCGTCAAGTAGCCCATATGCATCTCCGTTGCACATGGTCCCTAAAAAGGACAGCAACGATTGGCGTCCAACTGGTGACTATCGGCGATTGAACGCGAAAACCATTCCCGATCGTTACCCGTTGCCTCACATTCACGATTTGACAGCTACCTTGAAAGGTACAACTGTCTTTTCGAAAATCGACTTGGTTAAAGCGTATAACCAAATCCCTATGGCTACTGGCGACATACCGAAAACAGCTATCATAACTCCTTTCGGACTCTATGAATTTTTGCGAATGCCTTTCGGTCTAAGGAATGCTGCTCAAACATTCCAAAGATTCATAGACGACGTTTTTCGAGGTCTCAACTTCGTACACGCGTATGTTGACGACTGTCTAATCGCAAGTCCGGACAGAGAAACACATCTCAAGCATCTGGATCTTGTTTTCGAACGACTTCAAAAACATGGCATAACTGTAAACGTTCAGAAATGCCAATTCGGAACCGACTCGTTAGACTTTCTGGGACACACTATCGATGCTCAAGGCATTCGACCTCTTAGGACCAAAGTGGCGGCCATTCTGGATTACCCAGAACCGACCACCGTCAAGCAATTACGCACGTTTAACGGCCTGGTAAGTTTCTATAGACGTTTCATACCGAAATGCGCATTACTTATGAAACCTCTGACCGACCAACTTCGTGGAAATGCGAAATCCATTAATTTGGACGACACCGCACGAAAAGCATTCTCCACAGTTAAGGAACTGATTGCTAAAGCAACGATGCTCGCACATCAGGACACCCGAGCACCCATTAGCATCGCAGTAGACGCATCCGACTCGGCAATCGGAGGAGTCTTACAACAGTGGGTTAACAACTCCTGGCAACCCTTGGCATTTTTCTCAAGAAGGTTGCTAGACACCGAATCGAGGTACAGCACATTCGGTAGGGAACTCCTAGCTATGTATTGTGCTGTACGGCATTTCCAACACTACATCGAAGGTCGTGAATTCACTCTTTTCACGGACCATAAACCGCTCACTTTCTCGTTAAGCTCTCCTTCAGACAAGTACTCTCCCCGTGAGTCTCGACAACTGGACTACATTTCGCAGTTTACTTCAGATATTCAACACATCTCTGGAGCAAACAATGTAGTTGCAGACGCTTTATCTCGCATAACTTCCTTGAACAGTTTCCAAGGAATCGACCTTCTTAAACTCGCCGAGCTTCAAAAAGAAGACAGTGATCTTCAGCACGAGTTATCGTCCACAACACTTAAACTACGCATCAAACAGATGGGAACAGGTAAGGAAACCTTACTTTGTGACACATCTACAGGTAGGGATCGCCCAATCGTGCCGAAACATTATCGACGCAATGTCTTCAACACATTGCACAAACTTTCGCATCCAGGTGTTCGTGCAACCATCAAGCTTATAGCAGAAAGGTTTTGCTGGCCTGGAATGAATAAAGACGTGAGGGAGTGGGCACGCTCCTGTGTAAGCTGCCAAAAATCTAAGGTTATCAGACACAATAAATGTCCCTTAGGCTCGTTTAAAACTCCCGATGCTCGTTTCGACCATGTTCATCTGGATTTGGTAGGACCTTTACCGGATTCAAATGGATACTCTTATCTCTTAACCTGCGTAGACCGTTTCACTCGATGGCCAGAAGCAGTACCTATCAAGGACATCACTGCTGAAACAGTGGCTCGCACCTTCGTCGAACGATGGGTAGCAAACTTCGGCTGCCCTTCAACCATTACTACAGACTGCGGACGTCAGTTTGAATCCGATCTTTTCCGTCGTCTGACCACGCTTTTAGGAATCACTCGCTTCCGAACGACCGCCTACCATCCACAAGCAAACGGGTTGGTAGAACGTTTTCACCGACAACTGAAAGCTTCGCTATCAGCTGCAAACGTTTCACAGTGGACCGACGCTCTTCCACTCGTCTTACTAGGTATCCGCAATGCAGTGAAAGCTGACATTGGATACACTGCGTCTCAACTCGTTTATGGTACGACACTTCGACTTCCAGGAGAATTCGTGGATCCTTCATCCTCTTCAATGAACATGGATCTAACCTCCTACACGAACAGGCTTACAAACGCAATGCGTTCAGTTAAACCTGCTTCCACTCGACCTCAATCAACTGATGTTTTCGTTCAACCTGACTTACGATATAGTACACACGTTTTCGTTCGTCGAGACTCGCATCGACGACCCTTCGAATCAGCATACGAAGGACCCTTCAAAGTTCTTCAACGTGAATCTAAGTACTATATAGTCGATAAGAACGGAACCAACGATAGCATCAGTATCGATCGCTTAAAAGCAGCGTATTTAGAAGGAAATCCTATCTACGTGGATTTTCCTTCGGTACAATCGAACGACACGACTCCGACACTTATAATACCTCATCCGACAACCAACACACACGATGATACTTCGACAGTATCCGAAAATAAACTTAAAACGACGCGTTCTGGAAGAAGGGTGAGATTTCCAGAACATCTAAACGACTATTGCACGTAAGGCACTTCTCGACATTTTATATTATTTTTAAAAAAAAACAATTTTAATATGCTTATATATTTTTATTTCTATTTAAAAAAAAACAAAACAAAAAAACAATTTTTTTAACGCTATTACGTGTTCATGAGTTTATTTTCCATTTTTTTTCCGCCGACATTGTGCTTTTACGCACATACGAGTGTATTTCGACATGCACTTACATTTTCTTTTTTCTTTTCCAGGACGGCTGGAAAAGAACGATGACGTTTATGAGGATCCGAAATTTTCTATGTACATTTTCTTTTTTTACTATGTTGTACCTCCGTCCCATATAGTAAGGAAAGACGACCAGACGCTGCTAAATTTAGTAAGCTATCAGAAGAGTGTTTACCAACGACAAACTCGTTGGGTTTAAACTTCTGGCTGGCCACGTCTTAGGGTCGTCACTGCCCCACTAGGGGGGGAGTGATCTGTAGCGGTAAATAAATCCCCAAAATAAATAGCACTAAGTTTTCGACATTGGATGCTGACCATATGTTTTAGTGGACTCACCTAGCTGAAGGCGCTCGGTCAGTCATCCGCACCAGATCACGTGTGGTAACGCCGTGCTCAACATCAATCGCAATCGCTAGCCAGATTAGATCAGAGAATTCCGATATATTGGTCATCGCCAAATATACTCTTCCGATCTCCTCGACTCTGTCTTTTGATTTCTCTGGGCGGGAACGAAATATATTAGAAGGTGTTACTGGTAGAAGCGTTGTCAAACACTGAATACCTGTGACATCATCACCCTATATCTTTTATTCATATTAAATGTGTTGTTCTATATGTAGCCCAAGTTTTTCTCCATCATGTATTGGTGATTGTTATGGTGCAATTAGTTGGTGTAGACCATGATGTGACTCCCACGTAAGATCTTATGGATTACATCATGACAAATCTACAATTTAAGGATTACGTCTATTATTAGAGCAGTACTGGTATCATAGGAGACCACAATACTACAGATACTCCTATTCTTACCCAAATTTTTGCAATTTTTTTCTATATATTAACATTGTTCTAGGACTAATGTAGTCTCACTTTGATGTTTCTTACCCTTGGTTGATTGGAAGTTTGTTATTTGCCTTTGGTTAAATTTCTCATATATTAAATAATTTTATTATTATATGTTAGACTGTTGATAATGAATTCTTCTTGCTACATGTGGCTTTCTGTTAAAAGCGTTTGCTGATAACTTAATTATTGAAGATAGGATTTTCAGATACTTCAACACAAAAATACATACAGCTCTTCAATGTTGGGCTGAAATTTCTAGAAGTATCCCAAATATCATCATATATGAACAGGTATTTATAAGCAATTGTCTGTAGACGAGACTCAATATCCGTTGACCGAATACCATCAGCAACAGCACACTGTGGGAGAATGCAAACCGACTTCCAGCCGAAAAGTAAATTATGGAAAGACGTTGGAAGTGGACGGGATACAAATTGCGAAAATCACCGAACTGTATCACAAGACAAACCCTAACTTGGCTTCGTACTGAACCAAAGTCACGCTGATTTTGATGGGAGAGTAACGTAGGGTTATTAATCCCCAAACACATGATCATCGAAGCCGAAAATAAAATAACTGAGAAGATTCATGTCCAACATTTAACTCCTGGAGAAATTCAAATATTGTTTACCCAGTGACACTTAATCGATATGGCATGGCTCGACCTTGCAGGCATGATCACTATCTAATTTATCCCTTCCGCTATTAAATACACTCTTCCATCCATAGCTCAAATATGTTATTCAGAATTGCTTTACATCATATAGGACGAGCCAGTGTGGTGAATAATGAAGATTCCGAGTAAGATGTTAAATATATTAGATAGCCACATCATGTCAAATCTACCGTCGTTGAATAGGTCTAAGATTCTAGTGTACCAATACCGAAATGCGGACAAGAATGACTTACAGGAGACATTTTGTTTTGTTGCAGTAACAAGGAAAGAAATGCTATTGTGGCGAACCGGCTTACGTCGAAGTCACACCTCGTGGTCAGTACCTTACGTGGACTACCCCATTGATATGTCAATATATCACAGATGCTTTGAAGACTGTACAACACAATAATTATTAGTTAAAGTAGATACAAGTGAAAGGAAAATCACAGCCGCATGGACCAGTCCATGACATACGATTAACTGATGCGCGTTGGTTGCTTTTGACCTTAACGAGAACCGACGATTTGTTCAATATTCAATGACCCAACCGCCGGATGATTTTGCTAGGGCTCAGTAGAATTTCACTGGCCCTACACTATCCATATACTATGTCCTTCACTGATGCTTTCGAAATTAGCATGGGAATCTCTTATAAGACGGCTCCAGGATCACCAAGTTCTCTTTCAAAATAACGAAAGAAAATATTACAACAGATATACTTTTGTGGGTGCAAAAATAGCAGCGGAAAATGACAACCATAAGTCTCATTACGTCTTTCAGGTCATCTTCGAAAAACCGACTGGAAAGACTCTGTATTCGTATTGGGATTACCAATTGTAGCGTGGCGTCGAGTTGAGGTTAACTATGAACACCGCTACCAAGAAACACGTGCCAAGCGAATCAGAAGGCGTAAGAAGCTCGTTCCAAATGAATCCATAAAATCCCCGAGAAGCCGAATACCAGAAGGCAATTAATGGACCAAGTCGAGGTTTATTTGCTGGCGATCTCGTGGCATCGAAAGGATACCGAGATCGTGCCAGGATACAAGCTTGGTTACAGAACGTAACCGAATTCGCGCGAAGTTACAATCAAAGTGTAAGTATAAGAATGGAAGCACAAAATAGCTGCCATTAGCACAGTCAAACAAAAGCACATTAAAACAAACACTGGTACAGTTGGTTATAATAATAATTGTTTTTATTAAACCAGTCGTGTTCTCGTGATAAACGTAAGTCACTACAACTCGTATATCGTAATGGAGGATTTAAAAGTCAGCGTAAAGTTGGACATCACCGAGTACCAAGTCATCTTACGGCGACATAACACATAGGAATTATGGGAATCTGGTACGTTTGTGTGCCCTAAACAATTTGTTTAGAGGCAGTGACAATTCACCACGATACTCTATGCAAGAAATTACACGGGTTTCATCGGACCACTTTACAAAAACCAGATTGGTCGCCTCAGAGAACACAGATCTCTATATAGATGTGACCACATCAACAATCGAAAGAATTTATAAGGTCGTTAAACAAGACAAGCATGTTAAACGTCAGTACTAAATTAAACAATGAAGTCAGATAAACATGAAATGTAAAGTTGCATTATCTTCTCTTCAGAAACATCCGGGAGGAAGTATTAGTATTGATGTTAATTAAAGCTTCAAGTAAATTTCCAGAGCTCATTTCCTACTATGTATCTAACATCCACAACCTTAGTTTTAGTGGACATAAATATGCTGAGTTCAGTTTATTCAGGCGAACAACGTAAGGTTTTGACTAAATGTATACTAATGAGTAGACATACCAAGACAAAAGTACTACCTAGCCGTTCACAGATAATCAAACCACGTAAAACAGCCCAAATATTTGTGCCAAACTTGAATTTCTACCTATTCTTCCCGTAACGTACTCCATTTTTCCTGTTCTGTACATAGTGGTACAGTATTCTCGACATTCTGAGGTGTTTCCCTTGTATTTACAAAGTTTTTCACTTTTCGTTACTTATCCTCATATTATCAACGTCCACCACGAACAACGTTGTCATTTTGTATGATGCTAAACACTCTATAACAGCTCGTTCGGAAATTAGCTTCCTACTTCTTGAGATTCATTGCACTTTTTCTGTGTACCGCTCTGAGATGGGCTACTAGCACTTACAATACTTTACGTCAACCTATCGAAACTTACATATATATATAGTATATATTAGTAACATTCGTCCTAAGAAAACACCAAGTTTTCTACTTTATGAGCACCATACTGCAGAACCTAATCTAAGCACATTCTAATAATCAGAAAACTGACTCGTTTTCTGTTTATACCGTACATGATTGCGGAGGTAATTCACAGTATATTTTCAAGGGTGGGTTAATATAACTGCGTTGCTCCAGACACCATACGACATCTAACTGAGCTGTTGGACACCGTATATTCTGCTCGGTACTTCTTACGACTCCGATCACTGGAACATCACGAACCAAGTCCAATTTATTCTGGTGTTTGGATTAGTTACTCTTAAATCCAGACCATGCATTACCTGAGGACCCACACGACACTTCCTAAGCAAATGTTTGAATTAGTTCTTGGAGAAAAACCTTCTTAGCGACTTATTTGGTCAACAAAATCAAGACATGGCTTTTAAAAACTTAAAGTAGCCCAGATTTGAAATGCTAGTAAGGAACTCAAAAGCTATAATTGACACGAAAACCTAATCTAGGCATAATTAGAAATTACGGAAGTAAAAACACCTCTACATATAAACTTCAGTGAGAAAAGACGAAATATATTTAGAGTAACTAGTTCTAAGAAGATAAACAAAAACTTGTATGTATAGATTAGGTAAGAATATCGATGGGACTGTGGTGTAATAATTTTAGAAAATGAGGTTAGTATTGAGTAGTGGCAGAAACTTCAAACGAAGGAGAAGTCCTATAATTAAGACGATTAATATGAGGATTAGGAAATGACACCTATAAGTACGCACAGTAAGTCATAGGCAACACACAATAGTAGCTGGAAAGTGTACGTCAACACCAATGAATCATAGCTTATGCAAAACTGAGAGCAATTACAAATTATCAACTAATGTTGTATTTCAAAGCAATTAGAAATAATCAGTAATATTAACTTTTCCTTTTTTTCTTATATATAGGATACATGAATTGTGTCAGTATACGAATAAAAAAGTAGCGTTTCAATCGGGCGAAAATGAAGGAAAAATTTAACTGAATAATGAAAAGAACAGTGTACAATAATTTATACACAAAAAAGTGAAATGGCGACAACACTGCAAGTCGGTGAATGGACGGCATTTTGAATATAATAATAATCTCACATTATTTCCTGGTATTATTTATTACTAACATATTCAGTCCCATCATCTGGTGGATGTCCATACGTCGAATGAATTATAGCATCCTGGAAAATTGTTAGCAAGAAATTTGTATTATTGTTAAGATAATATAAATAAACATACGCACACAACAATAAGGTGAACATGCAATTAAAACAATTAAACACAACTAGTGTGCTTATTGAGTTTTGAGCTAGACACAATAACCAGTTAGACGTAAGGCAAAGTAAATTAGTGTGAAATTGGACAAATCAACAAATTCAGGTTAAAATATGAATCCTACTGTATTTTTCGAATATGCTGTTATATTCGTAAAACAATTTGGTAAACTACACTTAACAGTTGAGGTTTTACAAAGATGAAGTGTCCTTTATGGATACTATTCAGACTCAACATGTACTTTCAAATACAATTGATACCTCAAGATATAAAAGATAGTTGAATGGATAAAGATTAATCAGCAGAATAAAAACTAGCAGATAGGTTTAATATTTTTCTCCACATGAAACGGCTTATTATTTATTATTATTTGAACACATAAATATTGGTACAAGAGAGCGCCAATATATATGCGCCACACAAAACAATGGGAATTCGAAGAGAAAAAAAAAAAAACTAAGGAACGCAAAAGAAAAAGAGAGTAATGACGAAGAGGTACAATCAGAAGAAATCTTTCAGGTAAAGGAGACACAACCACTTTTTATGAAGAAAGTAAAAGAAGGTTACAGCAGGATCGCCACTGGCTTCTATTCTGAGCCATATCTGATAACGTCTCTAGCCACTGTGTAGCACCATCTCTCGGACCCCAGCCAGGGAGTCGTGAAGGACCAACACAAGCCAGTCCTTTGCAGCTTTCTTTCATGCCACGACACCATGTCATGCACTGACCACCTCTCCGCTTCTTCCAACCAGTCCCAGAGTCGGCAAATAATGCACGACGTGGAATTCTCTGGGACGACATTCGGAGAACATGTCCAAGCCACCGAAGTCGGTGTTTCAAGATGGTGACACCAATTGAGTTATCATCTCTGTGCCCGAACACACGATGCCGAACCTCTGCATTACTGACATGGTGTTGCCACTGAATGTCAGCAATCCTTCGGAGACAGCGATGATCGAACACAGAGAGTCGTCTAACGTCCTCAACTCGGAGAGGCCAGGTTTCACAAGCATAGAGCAAAACTGCTCTCACCGACGCGTTGTAGATCCGGCCTTTTACAGCCAGACTAACATCACGAAGGCGCCAAAGGTGGCCCAGATTGGCATAAGCCGCTCTGGCTTTCACTATTCGTGCACTGATCTCATCACTCACACCCCCACCAGCACTTATGCAGCTACCCAGATACACGAACTTCTCAACTACGTCTATCTGCTCACCATCCAGGGTGAGTACAGGATTAGAATCCTGCCAGTCTTGTAGAAGTACTTTGCACTTCGAAGGTGCAAAGCACATACCATACCTACGGACATTGATTGCCAACTGATTAAGTGCGGATTGCATGCCTTGGGCATTATCGCACAGTAAGACAATATCGTCCGCATACTCAAGGTCGAGAAGTCTTTCTCCAGGCAACAGATCCACACCACCATTACTTACATTCATCAGAGCTGTTTCCAGAATGTCATCGATGGCAAAGTTGAAGAGGAATGGTGAGATTGGGCAACCCTGCCTAACCCCACTGCTCGAATGGAACAATGGAGAGAGGTGGTTGTATGCCCTCACTCTGCCTGAGGTGTTTTATACAGGGCTTTTAGGATGTTAATAAACTTCTCAGGCACACCCTTCTTCAATAGACAATCCCAGAGAACAGTCCTATCCAACGAATCGAAGGCAGCCCTGATGTCAAGAAACACTACGATTGTTGGCCTTTGAAAAGTATGACGGTGTTCTAACATTTGGCGGAGGGTGAAGATATGATCAATACATCCTCGACCAGAACGAAACCCAGCCTGCTCCTCGCGAGTCAATCTTTCTCGGGTTTTGAACAACCTACGAAGAATGACGGAAGCCAATAGCTTGGACGCAATCGGAAGTAAACTTATCCCCCGATAGTTGTTACAAGAACGACGTGAACCCTTTTTAAAGATAGGGACAACTATCGACTCATTCCATGACGTTGGTACACTCTCTAGTTCCCAAACCTTTGTAAACAACGTCGTCAATTCCTTAGTCAAAAAGTCACCACCATCTTTAAAAAGAGCCGGAGGTAAGTCATCTGGGCCAGGTGATTTGTAACGCTTCAAGAGTTGGAGTTCCTTGCGGACTTCCTCCTCATTTGGTGGATCAGTCGTCACCGGCCATGGAGGGCAGGACAGTCTGACCGATGTTACCGGAGCAGCAGGCCAGTTGAACTGCCCTTCGAAAAATTCTGCCCATCGTCCAAGACGTCGATGGATGTTAGTGATTGGCATCCCATCATCCTCGCAGATTGTTTCACTCACACCAGACTTCTTGCTGCCAGTGGCTCGGATGAGTTGGAAGAGCTTCCGGTAGTTACCAGATGCAGCTGCTGCTTCCAGCTCATTAGCACGCATCGACCACCAGGCTTCTCGGTCCTTACGCAAGCTTTGCCCGATTTCCTTACGTAAATCCTTCGTTTATGGTCAAACTCACGGTTACCCGGAGTAGACCGACGGGCTTCAATGAGTTGTAAGGAACCAGAAGAAACCCAGTGCTTAAAAGCGGGACGTTTCGCAAACCCACAACTGACTGTTCCCGCCATTTTCATGGCGTCATGCAATTGCAACCAATGCTCATCTATACTTTTCGGTGGAGTGGTAGCTAGCCTAGAGGCTAGCTCGGTTCGATACTTACTTGCAACAGAAGTTGCAACCAGCTTGCTAACATCAATCCGTTGATGGCGTTCACTTCGTTGTCCACTGAAAAGTAAGGCAAGATTGGCGCAGACCAAGGCATGGTCAGAGTCCAGATAGGTACTCCAAAAGGAGCGGCAGTCTTGTACACAACCACGCCAGCGGTAGCTGATCGCGATGTGATCAATCTGAGTCCAGGCTTGAGATGCAGAGGGGGGACGCCAGGCGGCACATCGACGATGACTGTGCCGAAAGTTAGTGCTAGCCAGAAACAGGTTGTGGTCTGCGCAAAGTTGCAGTAGACGGTCCCCGTTATCTGACCTGCGACCAACGAGTCCCCATCGGCCACCTAAACGACTCTCTTCTGTGCCTAGACGCCCGACCTGAGCATTCAAGTCTCCGGCTAGTACTACAATATCTGTCGAACGCACTTTCTGGAGAAGAACTGATAACTGGTGGTAAAACTCATCCTTGATTGCATCCGGGCTGCAATCTGTCGGGGCATAGGCGGAGATGACGAAAAGACATCGTTTCTCACGCCGATTTCTTCTCACTTTGATGGAACTTTCTAATCTAACAGCACATAACCGACTGTTAATGGGGATCCAATCGACTAGTGCTGCCTCAGCTCTAGCGCTTAGTGCGACACCAACGCCAGCAAAACCAGACGAAGATGCCACAGGGTCCCCGGATAAGCGCACGTAAAACAGGCTTTTCGAAGCGACAGATGGAGATCGAATTTGTAGTACTTCGCCAGAGTCTTGAATACGGGTCTCGGATAGACAACACACGTCGATATTAAGACTTTCCAAAGACATAGCTACATAGCGACATGGCTACATATACTCTTCCTAGTGTGGTGAGTAACACAAATATTCGTTGAAAAATAAAGGTGATTCAGCAATCTTACTTATTGAAGACCAATTATTGTATTTATAGTGATTTAATAAACATATTTGTCTATCGAAAAAGAACGAGATCATAACACAATATTTGGAGATTTCAAATATCATAAAAGGGTTGCGTAACAACCTAAAGGTTAGAGAATAATAAAACTGGTGTAATTTATGGGTCGGAGAGAGATACTTGTCTAATTGACAGGCATAAAGAAGAAATGAAAAACATGAGGGTGATAGTAACAATTGAAATAGTTATAAAAAGTTGTAGAAGAACAACGATAACTGGTTAGGATATATTTATACAAATTCACTAAGTGATGTCATAGAAAAGTCTTATCACCAAATTGCTTTTATTTATTGTACATTAACACAATAAATTTCTTTCGTCACGAAGACTCATAATCGATTCCTGAGTGCGGAATCGTGGATACACATAGTTAGAGAGTCCCATACTAGAATAGAACAGCCGTCTAGTGTTTCCAGGTTTTCAATGGTTGTCTAACTTAGATCAGTTCATGATTTCAATAATATTCCTATCGATTAATATAAATTGTTTTTCAAACATGACATTGAAATTTTATAGAAATCAGTTTATAATAATCTATGCACTTAAATATGTATTTTCATCGAATCAATTATATTAGAGAATGTATTTGTTTCTAAGAAAAATGGGCAGAAGATATTGAAGTATGTTGGATGGGGGGGGGGTAAAATGATATCATTAACTTCATATTTAAGATTTAGTTTATGTCACTGATAAAGTATATGGACAGATAAACGGGTACACTCGAATTGCTTAACAATAAATAATCAAAATATACCTATCTACTTCACTTAATGAATAAATGATTGATAGCATTCAATATATGAATGAAAATCATATTGATTAGTATTATAAGGAAGTAACTATATAACTTAGACAATTTAGTTACATTTGTTCACTATAACAGTTTAATCTTATGGTGTCGTAAATTATGTTCATTTATTAAATTGTTGATTGATTAGTATCAAATGCTACTGATCATTATAAATAAAATCAAAGCATTCAGATATAGTTTTAGATCCTTTGCTTTTCAACTTGTACCGAGCCAATATCAATTTTTTTAATAACGGTTAGCTAGTTTTAGGTTAATGAAAACCAAAAAGGTTTGTGTTTTCATAATTATTAAGAATTAATGAACATATGCAGATAATAAACCACAATATCTGTAATTGTTACCTCAATATTTAGAAATCGCAGAAATATGAAGGTCATACTGACTGTATAGTCTAATACTCATCTGACAAAATACTACATTAAGAAAACCGTTAAGAACACCATGAACAGGTAAATTAAAGTGGAATAGCATCCAAATTTTACTGTTTATATATATCGTTAAGATATTTTAACAGTTTACTGAATGATAAGTTCACATGAATTTTAGTTTCCATGAATTTATTTATTTGAACACATAAATATTGGTATAAGAGGGCACCAAATATATATGCGCCACACAAAACAATGAGAATTTAAAGACAAGGAAAAAAAGGTAAGGAGCGTGAAAGAAAAACTGAAACTATAGAGGAAGGCAAAGTATGGGAAGTATTATTTGATTAGAAGTCAGTGTATCTTAATAAACAAGACCATTGTAATGTGCACAAACAATAGTCAACGATTTCTTGTCTGGATACAACACAAACAACAACAATAGACTTACATAAATCTAGGAAAGATATGCACATTGCACAGATTACATTAGAATTACCAATCATCACGGACATCGGCCAGACTATAATTTACGGACGAACCAATTATATATAAGATAACAGGTCTTCAATTTTGGCACGAAATTCATTCACTTATTTGTCTAAATAGTGTTTCGGCATTTTAGCTGATGTCAGTTAGTACTGAAAACCCTAAATATAATTCCTAACTTTAACCATCAACTGTAAATCCTAATTCCTCACACTAGTTTATAACTCTCATTTAGCCCTAGTTATTAGGTGGACACTTTTCAAATCCCCTTGGTGTTGCTCAAAGGTCGCCCATAAATTATAGTCTTAACAGGACATCTTATCAATAAACCAAGGATATATATACGATAACATATACAAAAAAAACAAATTACAGCAAACAGATTCTACAACAATGACAGTGAAAATAAATACCTACAGACGACATTTATACATAAATACAACTGCCGAGCACATTAATAAAAACGCACACGAATTCCATTCTTGGAGGGAATCCATGTAATTGCTGGTAGGTGGGTAAATTTATCCATACAAAGTATCTGGAAGCAACATACATGCGTATTATATTGATTGAAAGTATTATATAATGAAAACCAAAATGAACAATTATGCATGAAAAGTAAATAAATGATCATAATGAATTCATTTTAAACTCAGATGATTCAGGCATATTTCTGATAGAGAATAAGATTCCAATCAATCTAACAAACATTAGACACGACCCGACTGTAGATGCTATCTTGAAGTGGTGATCGGATTTGTCCATTGTGATGACTCGACCTAGCTATATTGGCTGGAACACATGCTTCTTTAGGTCCTACCAACCCAGGCATGTCGGTTGGAGAGCGGTAAAACTAAAAGCACCAGCTTAAGTTTGAGGGTGACGTCATACTTCTGACTGTAGATGAATGTGACAGTAGTAAGGTGTTTCCTTCAGACAACCAGCATTGCAGCAATTCTGTCTTCTCAAAACGGAAGGGGCTAGGAAAAGGTCAACCCCAATATTCGGTCATGGGTGCCTTCGAAACATTGCTCGTACACCTTGGGACTACAGAGTAAGCAACGCCAGGGTTAGGAATAAAGCACTAGGTAGGAAATCGGTTGGTGAGGTAGCAAATATTCATCAACTGAGGTTGTTAAGACATGCATCACATATATTCGACCACCGCCTACCCCGAAGGGCGATGTTTTCTGGTACAGGAACAGGTTGGGAAACAGTTCGAGGCGGCCAAAACAAAACATGACACTAGTTTATGAAGTCAATAACAAATGAACTTAGCTATGTCAATAAATACAGACTACCTGGTTGGGGTCCGTGTGATTATCTTAACTAATAGTTAGACGTTCAATGACGTGGGTCAAAATTGTTTGCAATGGCGCAAGTGCATCCATTCTTTGCTTTCTCCAAATTTTGAAATTCTCAATTCCTCACAGCTCTTTTCTTGTTTTCATTTTGCTAATTTATAATTTCTTTTTGAGTCGCACGTTCGATGTCTAAAATTTCCAATTACCACTGATACTGTTACTACCTCTACTATTCTGCAATTTGGTCTAACAACTTCACCCCCTTGTCTTACCGGGGTATATATATATATATATATATCATGTCATACTTAATATTAACGCAGTAAAAAATTAACAAGCAAGTCAAAACAAAACTACTAATGTTGATTTGAAAGAAAGAATAAACAATAATCGTTATTATCAAAAGTGAATATTTAAAAGGAAATAAACAATTAATATGTTTGGATGGCTGAGATCGATCTCGGCCAGTACCTCGTGAACTTTAAACACAAAGTTAGCATCCAAAGATGTACCACCTCAACATTTAAAGTTTTAAAAATTCTATTTCTATGACAGGTTTCAGCGTATTGTCGAAAACAGCCGTAGATATAAGTATTTTATGGTTATTCAATTATCTATCAATAAAACAACGTAATATGCCGAAGTCATACATTCTAGATTATTTTTACAAAGCAGCCAAACAGATAGATCAGTGGCGGATATCCTGATAAAATTAGTTGCAACAAGACTCAATTGAAAAACTCGAGCATCTAACAAACCAAGCAGAATTTATGTGGCGAACAAAAATCAACCTCGGTGCTTGAAGACAACTCAATTTCATAGAAAATATCAAAAATGCAGGTAAACATGAGACTATATCACTTTGGTAAGAAATATGTGTATCTGACTAGATACGTCAATTATCGATTAGGAAGTCACTTAGAACGAATAAAAAATCATATCACAATGGTATGTTAAGACTTAGCACTTCAATGTGTCTAAACTGTTATCCATCGAAGATTTAAATAGGCATCGGGGTTAGCAAAATATTTTTTACGCACTCGTATATGTTTTCATTTGTGTAGATTTGATTTTGATGAAGGCATAAAATCTGGTGATTAATAATCCATAAGTAATTATCAGTTTAGGGATTACAAGAAGTCTCCTGAACTTATCCTGTGGTACGAAGTTATCATAATCAGTAACTGGTGTTACACTAGCCATTCATTTTAATTTGACTGCTAGTAATTAACAATATGAGATGAGAAGCTTAATACATGTAAACAGTTAGATTTTTCTTGAGACAGTGACGCAAGAAATAAGATGAGATATCACTGATAACGACCTTACCTAAGGTGATGGAATGGTATTTAGAATAAAGAATGCCTTAACTATCGTAATTTACGACATTAAGTTACTGAACAATAAAATAACAGATGTGATTGATATTTTACAGGATATTTCGTTTAACAAAGGTCGTTCTCAACAATGAACAATTATAGCCAATTAAATAAGAAGTAACCCATCAAAAACAATAAAATAGGGAAACATGATAACATTGTCAAAGTCAAGCATTTAATTGTAAGATTCATTCTAAACGCGATTTCCAAAAGACAAATCAGCAACTTAAACGAGAGAAGTCACAATTCAAACCGAGGCAACTCTTGGTTTTATAACAAAATAGCACAAATACTGAAAGATCTTAACTTTATGGAATAAACTTATCATAACAAATTTCATTCACAATCTAATCAATTATTTCATAAATAGAAGTATTTCTATTTCATTCTTCAGTGTACCTATTTTCTAATTGCTAACTGACGATCCAGCATAAATACATAAAATGAAGAGTAAGAAACATTTATCAACATAAAATGGGACTTCTTTTTACATACATTCAAAATTGCAGGACACAAACTAATAAATTGTTTCGGCGAGACTATAATTTATGGACAAACCAATCAGATATAGGATAACAGGTCTTCAATTTTGGCACGAAATTCATTCACTTATTTGTCTAAATAGTGTTTCAGCATTTTAGCTAATGTCAGTTAGTAATGAAAACCCTAAATATAATTCCTAACTTTAACCATCAACTGTAAATCCTAATTCCTTACACTAGTTTATAACTCTCATTTAGCTCTAGTTATTAGGTGGACACTCTCCAAATCACCTTGGCGTTGCTCAAAGGTCGTCCATAAATTATAATCCTACCATTAATTCTGTATGCGCAGAAAATAAGATTATCGTTGTGGTTAAAAATATGTAATAGAAACAAATGTTAGTATATATATTCCAGTCTGCATATCAGCATAAATTCGTGACCAAACGCAAGTTTAGATTTAAGAATCAAGATGATTAAACCAAGAATAAGCACACACACATTTCATTCAATTTGTGTTGTCACAATGATAAACGGATGCAGGTTAATTTAATAAAAACACTAAACAAACATATAACTGTAATGTATTTTTAAAAATCTGTTCTTTAAAACACGGTGGAAGTATTCAAATCATTCATGTTATATGTATTATAGAGAGAACCACATGACTATAGTTTGTACATTCAAACAAAGTCAGATTTCGGAATGAAATGTGCGAATTAAAATGAGAATAATCACTGACACTAACTTTATGTTAAATTCATAATTACAAAATGAAGTGTATGCTGTTTATTTTCCAGAATTGAACTGACTTAATCTGACCAACGCATACAATGTGTAGCCATTAATCTAATTTATAACTTTACTATACACTTAATGTGAGAACATGCCTCGGAATCTATCACGATAGCCTAGAAAAACAATCGCCCTTCATTTTGCAGTAAATGTTACGTCACAGTAGCTCTCCAAACATACTTTTTTATTCTCTATGTTTAATCATTCGCATTATTATTGCTACATTATTTCGATTCATGTATTAATAACTTTATTAATTACATCTCGTATAGCTTGTGTCATAGTAATTAGGACCAACGCACACATGTACCAGACTCTACGTCATATTGACTGACTATTAACAAGACTAATGTTACTAACTTCCTCAGTACCTGTAGTTGGTGCTACTTTATAATATTCAAGTTGGAGACAGTACACTTTCGACAAGAATCTAGTTTATATGATAGGTTAATGAAATAAGACATCACAATTGCCAGAAATATCACTAATGATTGAAATATTGATAGAATAAACGCAAACAAATAGCTTATTCAGTGCAATACACAGTAGCCAACTTAAAAGCAGAATCTAATTAAATTTATAATATAACTTGATAAGGGATTTATTCCGAATTGGTCATATTATAGTCAGTCAGCTGCAACGTAGGACCAGGCACAAATATGAATCGGTCCAAGTTGCTACACTTCATTATCACAACAAGATCAATGCCAAATTCATAGTAGTTACTTCAATGGTAGTAATGTATAAAAGAAACTGTGTATAAGGATATAATACAGGAAGAAAAAATTAGTTCGTAGAAAGAAAGGTATAAAGTAATTTTAATCTCACCGTTTAAGGGAAGACAAAGAGTTTATACACTTACACCACTGTGTCACACAGTGTCTCCAACCATTGTTTACGATAGTCGCGTCGACCCCAACCAAAAAGTATACATCTACCAACATGGCTCACATCACAAGTTAGTGACTTCAATGACTGATGCCACGTTTTGGTTTGGCCGCCCTCAACTTTATTCCAACAGTCTCCAACACTAGTCAGCATTGTGCGTCGTGGTAATCGGCGTTCAGATATACGTGATCCAACCATCTCAGTCGGTGAACATTCACAACCTCATCAACTGATTTAACATCATTCCTTAACACCCTGCGTCTAACCTCATTATTACTTACCCGGTGATTCCAGCAGATGCGAGCTATATTTCTAAGACATCTGTGAACAAATACTAGCAACTTACGAGTATTTGATACTCCTACTGACCGCGTTTCGTAGCCGTAAAGTGGAACAGAACGAACTGATGCGCAGTGTACTCGTCCCTTAATTGATAGACGGATATCTCGCCTTGGCCATAGGTAACGTAAGTTGGCAAAAACCAAACCAGTTTTCTGAATCCGTCAACAAATTTCCCCAGACACTAACCGATTAGGGCTGGTCAGACTTCCAAGACAAGTGAAGTTGTCGACGCGCTCGACTACTTCACTCCCTATCCTTAGTTCAGGTGTTAATGCAGACCAGTCCTGAAGCAACAGCTTGCATTTAGAGGGGAGAAACGCATCCCAAACATCCTGGCATTGTTGCTCAGTGCTACCAAAAGATCCTGCATTTTATCAGCGTCTCCACAAAACAGGACAATTTCATCCGATAAGTGGACCTCCTGGAAGGATATCAATTCCTAAAAGTTCAGTCGACGAGGAAGTTAGTTCCATCAGTGTGCATATGATGAAGTTGAACAAAAATGGAAATAGTGGATAACCTTGCCGAACATTACTTGAGGTTGTTAAATCAGATGAAGGTTTGCCATAAGCTGACTCGACTAGTAGTGTTCGAGTAAAGAGCCTTCACAATGTTTATGTACTTCTGAGGTACGCCTTTCAATGACAGACACTGCCACAGAACCTCTTAGTCAGAGTCGAGTGCTGCTTTTACGTTAAGAAAGACCACCACTGTCGGACGCCGATAAGCATACTTGCGTTCTAGAACCTGACGAGTGGTGAATGTGGTCGATGCAGCCAAGACCAGGTCTTAAGCCAGCCTGATTTTCTCGTGTTTGCAGTTCACGAGTCTTAGGCGTCCGATAAGTATTGAGGCTAGTATTTTAGATGTCATGTTAGTCAAACTAATCCCTCTATGTTTATCACAGGATGATTTTGATTCTTTCTTATATATTGGGACGATAAGTGATTGCGACCAGTCAGATGGGATTTTAGCTAAAATATTAGTTAACCTCAACGCTAAAAGTAGACCATCATCCACAAAGACCTCTGGAGCCAATCCATCTGAACAAGCTGCTCTTCTTCATTTCAGATTAGCTATAACTTTCTGAACCTCAGATAGAGTCGAGGGACCTACTTCAATGTTCCATTCACGCTGTCTGGGAATCTTGAGTAGTTGTAGAATAGCTGAAGGCCAGCTGAACTGATCCCTAAAATATTCGGCCCATTGTTCTAAACGTCTGGACTGAGAGCAGATAAGAGTGTCGTCTTTTTCCGAAATCACCACACCTAAATTCGACTTAATAATTCCGGTTTCTTTTATTAGTCTGAGAAGCTGTCTTGTGTTACTTACAGCCGCTGCCTTTTCCATCTCTATTTCTTTCGTTGCCCACCACTGTTCACGGTCGTTCCTTAGTCTTTTGGTTAACCAAGATCTGATTTGTATTCGCTCGTTATCGTGTTCAGAGCCTGATGGCATGAGTTTACGAGAATCTATCAGTGCTAGAGACTTAGCAGAAATCCATCGGTTTTTCGTGACCCTTTGGTTTGAATCACTAATAGATGGAGCTGCTGTTTCCACAGCTGTTGGTATATCTTTCCAGGTAACATCTGGGTTGCCTCGTTTTCAGAACTACCTAGGTATGACCTGAGTTATTCCCGGAATCTACTTTCGGCTTCCTTGACTTGAATGGGTCTTCTAATGTGGTTTTTATGCGTCCAGAGAGGCGCAAGCAAACGCGTGCTCGTATTAGAGCATGATCGGAGTCCAAGCAGGTATTCCAGAACGAGCGACAGTTTTCCATAAAGCCTCTCAAACGAATACTGGTGGCAATATGGTCTATCTGAGTCCATCGTTTATTCGGTGCAGAGGGTCGCCATGTTAGACGGTGTCTCTCCTTATGCTTAAAATTAGTGCTTCCTAAAAATAAACGACTGTCTGAGCACAGTTGCGGCAGACGGTCATCATTATCTGTTCGCTGAGCCGGAATACCAGAATACCCATTTAAATGTCTTTCTGTTTGGTTTAAGCTACCTACCTAGGCATTAAAGTCACCTGCTACGGGTGCTATGTCTGAACGTTTAGCTTCCTGAAGAAGTTCAGAAAGCTTTCTGTAAAAGTCGTCTTTCACACTATCCGAGGTTTCAATAGACCTGGAACAGTGTTTCGCGCACTAGAATCGTTGACCATGGTGACACTTCCGGAGGAAGTCAAAAGAGTAGGTTTAGAGTTGAAAGTCAAGGTAGGAGGAATAATAGGAATTGAAGAGGGAGATTGATTATGAATACAGTGATCTTGAGTGCTGTTAGAGATATGAGAGCGGTTATCACTTCCTGGTTGCCCACACAGTAGGGGGGGTTTCTGGAGGTACCTGAAAAGGAAATTGGGTTCGAGGTGGTCTTAGTGACCTGAGAGCGTGACCGCAGTGCCCAAAGGACAACTGCTTGAGGTCGGTCACACACAACCTTTTTGTGAGTAATTTTTGTGTTAGCTCCGTACTTATTGGAACCCTACAGCCGGAGATGGAAATCTGCGGGATAAGGCAAGATGTGTATTTTTAGGGTCAACCTTTTCTAACCCCAGCTCTCCTTGTGGGAAGACAGCATCGCTGTTATGATGGTTGTCTGAAAGAAACAGCTTACCACCGTCAGCAGTACGACTTCGCCTTCGGACCATGGGTTTGCTGCTTTTATTCTTACTGCTCTTCAACCAACCCGTCTGGCATGTTAGGACCTTGAGGAACGATTGTCCCAGCTAGTATAGCTCGACTGGTTCATCAAGATAGGCAAGCACGACCACCACGTCAAGGTAGAAGCAACGGTCATATAATAGCTCCTCTTTTAAATTTGTTCGTTAGTTTAGTATAAAGAAGTCAATAACAGAGTAAAACGTTTCCTTGTTTTCTTTTTTAGATGAAAAAGCCAGACTATCACCGTCATGTGTCAATAGGGATTAATTAAATGAATTATCAGAATATTTGATCAATGTCACGACAAATAAAATTTCCCAACTGACCCCAAGCACACACATCAACAAGAAACCAATATATTTTTTTTAAAAGAACCTACTTTAACTGTTGAATAAGCAGAACCAACTTTATCATTCAATGATTTCACAACCTCTGAATTCCTTGAGTAATAGAAAGAGGAGAACAAATAACATTGCATGATTAAAGAAAAGGTGAAATTGAAACCCTACCGAATAGCAGAAATTGTTGATCCGACTTTTTCTTTAGCATCTTGGGCTACATTGACGGTCTTATCTTTAGCTTTACTTAAAAGTTCGCTTGTTTTGATATATCTGAATCAAATTTTAAAAAAAACGAGGAAAAGCATTAAAGGTAGTCAAAAAGTGAGAAACCACAGTAAACAACGTTAACATAAATACCTATGCTGCTAAGTTGATGATATTTGACTGCTGACAATAAGAATTTGCAACTTTCTAAAGTTCAACCAACCTTACGATTACAAAAGTAAAAAAATATGTAGGTGATAAACATATTATAGTAAATCAATCACTAGATCTAGGTTAAATAGTTGGCGAAAAAGCAGGTCGATAAAACAATACATAGACTGGTATATATGTGCATCGGCACATATCACCATACTTCACAGTGATGGAACAACGCGAAGAAAAATGAGATATTAAACAGACAATATGACTGAAAAGGAATAAATGAAATAAGAGGATGGGTAATGCCGAACAATCCAAAGCTCACTGAATACAGCCAAGCCACTGTGATGGAAACAAACACTGGGGAAACATCCTTTTGCTCTATCGTAGTACGCTTTTAGAAGAACCTGGACCTTTAAAATGTTTTGGTCTTTGAGAACGTTGACAGCTATGCAATCTAATTTAACAATCCTCCTGGCGAAAGACTACACTATGGTAAAAACTTTATTTACTTGTGGTAAAACTTTTATTACGAGGATATTGATGAGGAAACTGACTATAGGGGAAAACAAGGTACGAATGAGGGATACCATAACCGAAAACTTAGGACTTTACGTTCAACTCACAAATGACCTTTTGAAGACTGGTATAGTTATAAAAAGGCTGTAATTAGTTCTATAACGGTAGTATATATTAAAAGAAAACTAGGGAAAATCAGTACACTGACTATATATATATAGCACTCACGCTTCTGTATCTTCCAATTTATGAATACCTTCCATGAGGTCATACTGCAATGTAGAAAGTGTGGTAAAACCAAGAGCCTTTTTTATCTCGTTAGATCGGCGCTGCTTAACAACAAGAGTTTCTTGAAGGAGACGAATTTCTTCTTCAACCTACAATATGAGAGTACATAGGAAGTGAAGAAATTCATACTAAAAATAAAACTACAGGCCTGAAAACGGATTAAATATTGTTACTACATAAAATATCGTTAACATATAGTAAATAACTGAAATTAGTGAAAAGGTACCTCAGTATTTGAAGTGTTCATCTTTTAATCATAGGATTTCAGGCTCGAATACTGACCCAATTAAATCGGTGTGGAAGACAAGATTATATGCCCTTACAGAAGTGACTGATTGTCAATTAAACGAAATCTTACTTCCTAAGTTACACTGTTGTTATGAGAATCGATCAGCAGAAAATCTTCGCATAATTATTCAATCATATGAAGTTAAAATATTGTAATTACATAGGTTCAATTGTATTCTACACTTTAGTACTTATGAATTCAGTTTTATATGCAGTAAATGCAGTGAGAGAAGTTAATAAAAGTATTTCCTCGTCTCTGCTATGGAAAACCATTGGCATGTGAGTTTTTTAAAGATCCTATTTAGATTTAAATTATTTGACATGAGGCGATACAAATACCAGTTACATAACGTAGTATGAAAGTGTATTGAAGAAAATACTCTGAATGGAAACTATTTGTTTAATGAACATAATTACTTAATGTAATGGGGAAAGAAGACTGGCGAAAATTCATTTACATTTATTATACGTCCATTAAGTGTTAAATTTTTTACCCTTCTAGTTAACAGTTTATGAGGCCATAATTCTTATAGTACTACCCTTTGAAACGAATTATTCTAACAGCTAACCAGAAACAAATAACTATATAACTGATCTTGTATTTAGACGTAAATAACGTTAGTAGGTCTGCAGTAATGTAACCAATTTCGATCCATATATCGAATTTGATTTTTAACTACTAGTTTTTGGTATTTTGAAGAAACCTACCTTTACAATATCGACATAAAACTGCACACAAAGCGCAAAAATTCAAAATACCTCACTTTTTATTAAATGAGTAAAGTTATATGCTGCCTTAAGGCCAAGGGCAAGTACGTATGCATAAGACAACTTGACGAGGGATGACAACACCTATTTAGTCCCGAAAGTTGCTTAGTACTTACAGATCGTTAGTTTATGTTTGGCAACAGTTAAACTAACCAACGTCCTTTTCGAGCTTGATAATTGAGGACTGATATCGAATACTGTTGGACTTTTCGCCATGCTGATTCTGGTTACTGTTACTTGATGTCACTAAATATACTAAGGCAATCTATTCTTCAGCTGATTTTCTTCCCCATGGTATTCGGAACCAGATGAAGCGAGAGTGGATAGAATTGTGAAGACCTACTACCTTTTAGTGGATTTTGGTCACGTTAAAACACTTACAGTCTATGTACACACATTTGGTTTCCTCGTTTTACAACTAAAAACATGGACTTTAGATATGTTTTCGAACACTTTAGGACACAAAAAGAAACACAGATGGTATCACAAGGGAAACATTACTCGTCCCCTGATCCTTCTCAAATACGATAAGGAACGATATTTAACCGGGTTCGTTGGTAACTTGATATCACAACTCGCTTAGTCGGAAAAACTTTCCGCTCATGATCAAAGTTACAGGAGATTAGGAAAAGATTATCAGGATGAACGGACAGACTTAGGCAAACAATAAACGCAATACATAGAACGTTTATCGACACCTCTGACAACCATATTACTAATTAACGTTTACGACAAAGTCAGCAGTCAACAAAGAAATAATTCAGAAGTGCCAATGACATAGGGAAATTATCTAGGTACTCCTAGCATCGTTGAAGGTAATGCTTCCACTCCTTTAAACATGAAGACAGTTGTTGTAGCTATCCAAGACCTTTAAAACTTTACGATAGTCAAACCAATCAATTGATCTATAGGATTGCATGTTTTAGTATGAATTATACTTAAGTGAAGGCTAGTGACACTTGCCTGAACAAACTAGTACACAGAGTGGGGTTTAAACCCGCGACCTATTGATTCATAGTCATATCCTCTATTCAGTTAATACAAGAAAGAAACCCGCATGAACCAATAAGAATACCATTATATTTATAAACAGCAACCAAAAGTATAGTTTTGTTAATCAAAATAGCAAGCCAAATCAAAGAGTCGTAAACTAAGCTTAAGATATCATGATCTATTTCTCGTTGTGAGGGTAACACAACAAGTACTAGAAGAACCTAATAATTTTAACGTTTTAGGGGATGTTGACTTTGCCAACGAAAAACACTACAAATTACCTGAGACAACTCAACTTGTAGCCTTGCATTTTCCTCATCTGATAAAACAGGTTGATCAGTGCTTATTTCTTGGGGTACAACAGGAGCGCTTGGGTCCATCATTGATGTAGTTTTCAACTTTTGGTAGGATTTTGTTTTTAGCTAAGAAGTACTATTTACTGGGAAAGGGTGAAGACCAGAGAAATAATCTGTAAAAGAAGTCATGATATAAAGTGGATCGACTGCTGAGTATGCACATAGAACGTGTTAAATAATATTAAAAGCAAATTATTACAATTGGTGAGGATACAAGCGAAAGATAACGACAATCTGAAAAACGAGACCACAATCGGGGAGGTCAAACCGTTGTCGACGCACCGTAACCCAACAGCAGTTTTGAGCGCTTCCGAATTCAATATCCAAATGGTTCAAATGGTTGTGGACGGAATAGAAGCTTTCGCTTAACGGGCTTCCGTGTCTAGTAGCAGCGGATCACCACCATCTCCTGGCAGAAACCTGGATATATTAACGATAATAGAGGAAAAAGAAATTGGTAAATCATAGTAAGATATTATCATTCGTCCTTAAGAATAGGTCAAGTTTCCTCCTAACGGACTCCTGAGAAGTCGCCTGGACTGGCTCATCCGGCAGCTAATCCCAGCATTTAACAACTCTTAAGGAGTAGAAGTTGTGTCTACAGTCCATTCTGCCGTGTTGTGTCCCTAGTTTCTAGGTGTTATGCCTTAGGTTTGTGTTGCAGCTAAACTTAAGTAGGTATTTAAGGGGATGTCCAGAAGTGTTAAGGGTACTGTAAGCCACTAGAGTGTCACCTCTAAGACGCCTATCAGCTAATGGGTAAGAGTTTGGTGATTGGAGGTTCTCTTCATAAGGCTTGAATTTGAATCCCCGAACTGATTTCGTGGCCCGCCTTTGGATACGTTCCAGAGTGTCCTTATCATTTGGAGTGAGGGAGAAAATACTATGTTTCCATACTCTAAATGAGGACGAATAAAACCAGTGAAGCTCATATTGGAAGTTTTTCTGTCAAACTGGCCAAAATGCGCTCCAATGTTACCAGTGCAAAGTTTTCTCGAAAGGCATTTTTCTCACAGCGTAAAACTTCAAATCGTAGGGCACCAGGACTCCTAAATCTTTTTCGACTCGAGATACCACTGGGGAGGAGTTTCTTAAGTTGTAACTGTAGTCTGCGACATGTCGCAGATGGACTACTTTACACCTTGAATTGTTGAAGGTAAGTCCGTTGTCATCTGCCCAACTTTGAAGTTGAGTCAGATCCACCTAAAGTGCCAGTATATCCTTTTGGTTGCGTATTACTGTCCAAAGTTTCACACCGTCAGCAAAATAAAGAACTCAGACGATACCTGTTATTGGAGACCGTTTATATAAATCAAGAAAAGAAGAGGTCCTAGTACTGGGGGACCCCACCATGACATTCCATAGCTTGAGGGAAAGTGAAGTTAATCTTGACCTAATATGTCGATTTTCTAGATATGAAATGACCCAATCAATTAAAAGTGATACATAATCGTCTGAGCTTATTGACAAGACATATATGGTTGATCCCATCAATTGCTTTTGAGGAGTCAAGATAAATGACATCAACCTTCCCCATGCGATCAAGGATGGTTGTCCATCTGTTCACCGCAGTCAGCAGGTTGGTTATACAAGAATGACTCTCCCTGAAACCATGCTGTTGGGGCGAAAAAAAGTTTAAAGATAATGAATAGTCATCTATACCGTCGTGTATCAGGGACTCCATAATTTTTGAAAGAAAAGAGCACAGAGCCACCGGTCAGTAGCTCGAAGGTTTGCCGCGTTGACCTCCTTTGAAAATCGGTGTGATGTGAGTCAGCTTCCAATTTTTCGGTAGTCTGCCTAGGCTTAGCGAGTGTGAGAACATCACGCTAAGCGGTGTTGCCAGAATTAAAGATGTTTTCCTCAATATAGTAAAATTAACCATATTCGGACCAGGAGAAGTGTCTTTTCTTAGGTGCTGAAGTTTCCGGTACATCAATTCAGCGCTCACGTCCTCTTATGAAAATTCTGTTGAGTTACAGGTAGAGTTCTTGTCTGTGAGGCTAGTATGAAACGGCCGAAATGCTTGAAAATACTGTCCTTCTAGGAGGTCGGCGGTGTCACCGTCTTTGGTGGTTGTGCCTATGCTACCCATCAATTCGAGAACTCCGGTTTCGGACAACCCAGTGAAGTCCTGAGTGAAGAGGCTGTAGTGGCATTGGACAATAGCCACACAATCCACAAAGCTGTGAACACGAGACTACTCAGAAAATAGATATTCAATATTTAACTCGGGGAAATACCTAACAATGGAGAAGGCGCGGAGAAAGAATTAAATGGATTGGAGTTGATCGGATGGCATGGCTCGACCATGCAGGCGTGGTCCTTCTGAATGTTACCTTATATCTTCTATTCATATTAAATATATTGTTCCTTCTCTAGACTAACCTTGTTCTACATCATGTATTGGTAATTGATACGATACAGTGTGCTGGTGTAGTCGATGGTGTGACTTCCACGTAAGATCTTATAGATTAGTCAGTTATATCATGACAAAGCTACAATTTTAGGATTAGGTCTATTATTAGAGCAGTACTAATATCAAAGTAGACCATAAGATTTTTTTTGGAATTTGAATATATATTTGAGCATATTGAAAATTTTTTTATTCAGTCCAAAAAATCGGGACAAACAAAGTGCTATGTAGTGTCTTATTTACAGTGATCGTTTAGGTGTTCTGGAAACCTTACTCTTCCTGAACGTATTGTTTTGACTCGGTTGTCAGACGCCAATAAAGTGTCGTCGTGATTGTTGATTATCGGGTAAGGTATCGTAATTGTGAGACTCGTGTCTACAATGGTATCAAAGGAAAATGGATATGAATAGGGTTTCTTTATTAATATGCGGCATCGAGGCGGTCGATGCTGATGCTATTGTTAGTTCCGTTCATGTCGATGATATTGTTCTTGGGTTCACGCTGAAGAACTTTGAAAGGTCATTTGTATGCCGTTGCGAAAGGTTGTCGAAGTGAGTCGTGATGTGTGTACTATACCGTAGGACAGGTCGAACAAAAACATAAGTCGTTCGTGGCCGAGTGACTGGATGCAAACCGTTTGTAAGCCCGCTTGTGTAGGATGTTAGATCCGTATTCATTGAAGAAGATGAAGGAGCCAGGAGTTCTCCTGGTCGTTGAAGTGCCGTTTCAATGTCAACTTTCACTGCATTGCGAATACCGAATAAAACGAGTGTAAGAGTGTTGATTCACTAAGAAACGTTTGCAGCTGCTAGTGACGCTTGTTCAATTAATCAAATCTAAATTACAATAAATAAGGAAGTTGATAAAAGATGCGAGAAAATTACCAATCGCAACAGATAAATGCTATTCTATCCTGTCTGGATAAACCATGCACAGATTCATTCAAAAGATAATATTTGGTTGCTTTATAATATAGAGTGTTTCCAATTCTGGAAAAGTGTTGAACAGATCCGTCAATAAACAGTTAGAATATGGCAGTAAACAAAGTTAGAACGAGGATTGTGTGTGAACACGTGTATTTAGCGAACGGTGGTCAGTACATCATGCGAATTGTGAGCATGAACGATTTAAGTCAATTAAACTAATATTTTAGTCGATTGAATGTTTGTTGACACGGAATAGGTTATTGGAAAATTATAAATAATGACAAAAAATATTCACAAATTAGGTTTTGTCAATCATACCCACATACTCTATGATTAGTCCCCGTAATCAATAAAGCAGAATGTTGGACTCTGCAAACAGAAGTATATTTTACACATAAGAAGGTAACGAAAGTTTACAATTATGCGACAAGCGGTTTATTCATAGTTAGTACATCTAAAAAACACAAATACAGTTAGGTGTACAATGTCTTAACAGGTAAAGAAAGCGTGATGTTTTACAAGAGTAATAAAAATCGTTGGGTTTTCTCATCAGTATAAAGTACCTTATAGTTTGATATTCTCTATGATCGTATCTGGGTAGCGAAATCATTCTTAAAGTATAGAGACATGATAGAGGGAACTTTCCAGACGAGATTTTATGCAAACACTAAAAATGTTTTCCAATAGTAAAGGGGTCAGGAAAGGTAGCTTTCTAAAGAGTAATTTCATGACAGCTTAGGTTCCATAAAAATATGTTATGTTTCATTATGGTCAGAGTAAATATGCTCCGTACAGATTTACTTCCTAGTACAGAATGTATTTTTACTGTCTAAATATTGTGATTTTGCAATAAGATATGATGAACAAAAGGTGTGATTAAACGAGGTCTGAACGAAGGTTAAAATACACGACGGGGAGAAGAAACAAATGAATGACAGTACTGTCCAACAAAAAGGCTGCGGAGGGATTCCCATTGTTCTCTTGCTGTTACACTGGCCCCCAAAATCCCTCCAGCTACGCAAAGACACCTTAGAATACATTTCTGTCATGATTATCCTCACTAACTCCTTTTATCGACGGGAGGTAAAGGACTTACAACAGTCCGCCTGTACACCTATAAACCTTACATACAACCTACTGCTATACGGCTTCTTCCAGAAATCAAAGCATTCGCAGCTTCCTCATATGTTCCCCTTCTCGCCAAGATTAGTAACTTAGTATAAAGCGAAACGTTGTCCGGAGGTTTGCGCCTGAGTATGTTCCACGAGTAGACAGAGGAACTACAACCGGTCCCAGTCAGGATCTTAATCATAACGTCGGTAAGATCTCTACCAACAAGGTCCAGACGCAAAATAGCATAAGGCAACGCATAAGCTTCATAAGTCGAAACTGTGTAGGTCACACCCTCACATAAGTCCAACACTATACCAGTTGTACAACCAGATGCATACAGGAATAACACCGCTTGAATAGCAACATACACAGCTGGTGTAGTAAAAGTCTCAAACATGATCCATGTCATCTCACGGTTTGCATTCGGGTTCAATGAAGCTTCTGGCAAAAACAATGAATGTTCCTCTGTTGCCACTCGCAACCCGTTGTAGAATGTATGGTACCACATCTTCTCCATATCACCCCACTTAGTCAAAATACCATGTTCATCTTGGCACTGCAGTGTCAGGATACAGCATTTCGATCTAGCATTGTCTTCCATATGATTGTCCTTTTGATCCATTTTCCCCATCAATCCTTGATGTCTAGTTCCTCCAACAATAGAGGGGGATACGGCTATGGTAGCATCACTTTCGGCGAAGCCACCTTTACACATACCAGACCCATCGTTGATTACGGGAGCAGCAACGTATTCCTCAGCCACTCCTCTAGGTAAAGGAACAATCTCGTAACTTTCATCAAAGTAATTGTCGCGCTCTACT